TCTGTGATACAATTTTCTTTATATACTGTATGTTGATAGTTATAAAAAGCCAAAGGGCTATCCACTGACATTAAACTCATGAAGGACGGACATGTTCGGATTTGCTATTTTGCTTCAATTTTTCTTAGACAAACCTGAAGCCAAATGTATTTAATTTCTACTGATGGTCAACTCCAATCAAGCCCATCCCTACTCTTGACCAGGTGTGAAAGTGTGCAAGGCCTTTCAAAATGCCACACGCCTTTCTGTTTTGGAAATGTTGCTGTTGCTTGTTGTGGGTGCAACAGGCTCAGCTGTCAGTGAGAAGTACACGCCTTGTTCAGGCTCTACTTTTAGCTCTGAGCTCTGGGCCCTGTCCGCAGTATCACCTGCTGCTGCACTGACGGCACACCATCCCAGCCTCCACATAGGGCTGCATGTCTGCGGTCTGAAGGTCTTCATGGATGTGCTTTTGTGCTTTGATGGAGGAGAGGTGACTGAGCTCAGCTCAGTGATTCTAATATATGCCATCGACTCACATCAGCAGCTGCGCTGCTCCACTCCTGAGTGTAGCAGGCATGTGGCTTCGGCTGCTGTTGACTAATGAGTTGCTTTTCTGTGACAACACACTTGTCAAAGCAAGAAATAATGACAGGAATGCAATCTCACTGCAAGTGGATAGAATCTGCAGTTTCTAAACAACCCAGAACTCCTCAGATTGTTCAATTAAGTGCTTGTTTTTTAAAGTGACGTTACATCATATGCTTCCCCATATGCTCTCACCCCAGTGAGGCTATTCAAATTAAGTCAGTGCATGCTGTCAGTGCATTGATTTTTTCTTTTTCTTTTCTTTTTTCAGTTTTCTTTCTTCGCATTACTTCATGTGTGTTTCCTCTTCTTACTCAACATTGACCTACTCAACATAGGCCAGTCTAGGTCTCGAGCAAAAGAGTCCTGCTTGGTTTATAGGCCTTTGACACCATGGGAGCTATAGTAGTAGTTCTAAAAGCACTTGGATACCTGGAAAATAAATTGTTCATAAAAATGCGTATTTCTACATACAAGTTCTTTTCAAACCTGTAATTTAATTGAAAACTTGAGCTCAATGATTCAGTTTTTCATTAAATCAGGCCGTAAAAAGTGCTGAGTAGAAATTTGGCGTGACGCTAGCTCTCCTCCACTCACAGAACAAGGGGCAGCGCTTTTACAAACAGGCTGCCTTCTCTAGCGTCTGCAGCGCATGTAAACAGTAGCATGGCAGCAGAAAGTGGCTATAGCTCCTCTGGCTGTAACTGCAGACACAGCAAAACGGCCCAAATTACGCAAAAGTGAGGAGGAGAAGAGGGAACTAAAGCGAAAAAATTATCAAGCCTGGGTGAATAATGCTAGCTTTCGTTGTATCCTTGCTGGAGAGACCTGCGGGTGCGGGACCGCCTCGGACTATCTATGCTCGGACTACATTTGGACGCGAAACTAGCTGTAATCTTTCAGTTATATATTTTGTTAGTATATACTTTTGTACCATTTCATCAGTGATTGTTGTACACCTTACAAGAAGTTGCGCTAATGCTGTTGTTTGCGTACGAATTAGATTGCAAATAAAACTAGATGGCTCTGTGGGAGGAGAGCGTAGAGGAGAGTAGGAGGGTTTCTCAAAATGAGAAGCCGTGAGCGAGTTGGGGGGTGGTGGTAAACATTCCAACTGAAAAAAACCTTGCAGAAACGGGTATAGCTCCTTTAACTGAGTGTCCCTGTGGAGCAACGAGAACACAGCCTTTTGAATGTTGGCAAAATACTATGTCCAGTAGGAGGATCGCGCTAACACATTTTGACTTTACAGTTATTGTGTATATTTGTTTGTTATCCGCAAACATGATGATGTTGCAAGATGCAACTGCTCCATTCATCAAATGCAGAAAGTGGGAAAAAAGTATTTTATTACATGGGAATATTTTTTATAGAGCAGGCCTTGCCCTTTAATGTGTACTTGCGTAATTAGCTTGAAATGAATTGATTTGAAATATATATTGGATCGTATTTAGTCCTTTTTAGTACCAACAAATCTGATCAAGGAAGTCACCAATTTCAAAATTAATGGAAAGTATAAAGACAATGATGACTTTGTAAAAAATGCTTTAAGTAGCTTTGCTTAAATCCAAAATCCTTTAACTTTAAGCCATTTACTTGAAGGATTATAAAGAATTCATTCAGTATTTCTTGAATTACCATCTTTTTTTAGTTGTGCATTATGATGCAACTGCAAATGTGCATTTTGATGTGCAACTAACTTAAAATTAAGATTCTCTTGCAGTACTGTGTGTGCCTCATCCTTGCATCCCTCTGTATCACATTGAGGTTGTTATGGAAACCGATTCTCCTCTCCACCTGTTGCCATGAGAGCAGTACATTGATGACGTGGTTTATTTGACACCATTTTAAGGCCAGTATTTGACCTTGGTGGGAATATTAACTTTCTATAAATGGTAAACCATAATAGTTCTTTTCGATTCATTGGATTTTTTTAATTGAATTGATGACTTTTATGTCAAAGTTGAATGTCTGTGCACAAGGTTACTGATGTAACGATTTCAATTCAAGATTTGTGTCCATAGACGTGTCCACTTGTTTGTGACGCAGGAACAAATCCACTGAGGAGGACTCACGGAGGTGGGCCATCGAGTGAGACAGTTCTGCCACATTAAAGATTGTGACTCACTTTTTGTGTTCAGTACAACAGACCCCTGCTGACTGACGCTTGATGGTTTACACACTGCGCTGAAAGAAAAACAATTATGAAAAAGGAATAAAAACAATTTTTGTTTTTTTTTTTTCAGAGGTTGAGTTGTAGCAACTTGTGTGTGCTCAATATGCAAATAAGACACTTGCAACTCAGGCTTTGCATCAGCAAGATAAGAGATACTATATATCTTTCCCCACAGTGGGGAAATTTCAATGTTGCAGCGCACATACAGGACAGTAGTAAGAGCACACAGGGAGCACACAAAAATATATACAAAACAAGTATAGCTATGTTTCTTAACTAATGGTTCCTTATTTTTCTATGTTTGTTGTCAATGTCAGTTTGCCCGTTGAACCTACAGACTCCGCATCAGAGTTGAGATGAACTCTTGCTCAAAGCTGCTGGGGATTGTTCCAGGAAGGGGCAACAGGGGCAGTGGTAACCCTAACCCCCTCAGAGTTACTTTCTCTGATTAGCTTGGCTCTCATTTCTCTTTGGAGGCAGGTTAAAGGGGAACAGGACTTATTTTAGCCTCATGTTGGGCTAGCTTCTCTTCCCAATATGGATGCCAACGCCGCTCTCTACACCTTAACACTGCATTGTACGCTGTGTTCAATAGCCGCTTCTTGCATATTAAGGCCATGTCAGTGTTTTCGTGTGACTGCTTTGTGAGGACACTCTGTGCTTCGCTACCAGCATGTGACCTGCGGAGGGCGATATGCAATCCCTGTCTCTCCACATCTCCTGCATTATTGATAAGTGCAGCAGCAAAATCCACAACGCAAGCCACTCTGTCGAGGTCGTCTTGATTCAAAAGCGCCTCTCAAGCACCCTCACATTAAGGGGATGAGAGCTTTTTCATTAACCCATTAGACAAATTAGGATGAAAGAAAGCTGATTGCGAATGAGGTCTGCTGACGGTAACAATAGCAGAAGCACAAATGTGTAGCTTGACTTGAGCCCTTGTATTGGTGCACTGTTTGGATGGTTGCTAGGCTCTTGAGGACTGCATATTACTTTTATTAGATTTTTTTTTCCTCTCCCTCTCCGTGCTTTCATACCTCTGCAGTTGCGATCATGTAGGTATTTGGCTCTCCTCAATACATTCTTTGCATTGGCCTTAACATTATTTCAAGAAGTTGTTCAGCAAACTATCCATATGAATGCAATGTTTAAGATCTTCCTTATAAAAGCTATACCACCTCTCTGTCACCTCTGCACATCCTCTGAGCAGTGAAAGCCGGGTCCTAGGGGTCAGTCTGAGCATGGCTGGGAGGGACAACATGCCAGGGATGACTGCAGATTCAGCTTCATTAAGAAGTGCTGATAACCTGGCAATGCGAGGACAGAACTTATTTACTTGAGAATAACTTGTTGGTAAAGCCCTGAAGCCCTGTGACTCTGATTATGTATGTCAACTTTTGTAAATTTGACACACTCTTCTGTGGAAAAATTTCATATTTTGGATATTCGGCCACTTTCTGGGCATTTCCTGTCCTCAGAGGCAACTGCTGTTGTGATTTAGGCCAGAGATGTATTTAGAAGTGTGTACATTTTCAGCTAGTTCAAGTCAAGAGAGAGAACTGGGGTGGGAAATGGGGAGGTGAGACATGACACAACTGGACACAGATAATCTGATCTGGATGAGAACTTTGATGGAGTGAGGCTGGTCTTTTTCACTTTTCTGTCTCAAAAAATGTCTCTAAAGATGTGGCAGAAACTAAACATTTGTGCATTTAAAATATATTGATATATCCAAAGGGCTAGGACTGCGATAAATATATTTTAATTTTCCATGTTTTTAATGGTTTGAAAGCTTCAACCCAAGCTTCAATTAACCTTTTTTTCTCAAATAATTTGTAATTTGTTATCTGAGAGAAGTACAGTGGTATGTTGTGGAAATATCAACCCGTGTTTCCCTCTTCTAAAAAAAATCCTTTGCAAAGACATTCATGACCATTATCCGTTCATGTGATGTTTGTCCAAATATAGCATTGGTGTGACTGAGGAACAAGACAGAGTTGGCCAACAGGAATTCGCTCATGCCCTTTGTAAAGCAAGACACATGTTTTTGTGAGAAAAATATTTCTTCTTGCATTTCCAATGCTAAACACAATATTTAGCTGGCATGAGGCAATGTTATTAGAAAATCTTGCTGAAGTTGATTGGGTAGCTTTGGAAAGGTCATGTGATTAATAGTGTTGAATTTAATAGATTGTGTCTTCATAATCGAGATAGTTAGTTGATTTATTAATTCTAATTGAGTTATTTTGTCTTTCAGCTATTCTTAACCCCAAAGCCCCCAAAGAACCAGCGAAGACCTTCAGTTTTGACTACTCCTACTGGTCACACACTTCGGTATGTACAGTGTTACCCCCCTTGAAATTGCTCAACAATATTCAAGTTAAATGTGTAATGGTGACTTTATTAATTTCTATTCATCTATTGTTCCTCAGCCCGATGACCCAAGCTTTGCATCACAAGAACGTGTATTTAATGATATAGGGAAGGAAATGCTGGCGCATGCCTTTGAAGGCTACAACGTCTGCATCTTTGCATATGGCCAGACAGGATCTGGCAAATCCTACACCATGATGGGCAGAGAGGGGCAGGAAGGAATCATCCCCATGGTTTGTGATGCCAGAAATTAAAAATTTCTATTTTTGAGGCAACATTACTTGTATATTGTTTTTTGCACTAAATAAAGATATTCCTTTTCTTGTTCTGTACAGCTCTGTGAAGATCTCTTTGAAAAAATCAGTTTAGACAACAACAAAGAACAGCTCTCTTACTCAGTTGAGGTACATCTACCCATCATATGTTTTTCATGAATCACTGCTGGTTCTACTTCAAACACTTCTTACTATCACAACTGTGTTTGTTTTTTTTAGGTCAGTTATATGGAGATCTACTGTGAGCGGGTCCGGGACTTGCTCAATCCTAAAAACAAAGGCAACTTGAGAGTTCGCGAACACCCTCTCCTAGGCCCATATGTGGAGGACTTGTCTAAACTCGCTGTTACCTCCTACACAGACATTGCAGATCTTATGGATGCAGGAAACAAAGCCAGGTATGTTCGGATAACTGACAACAATAAAAAGTTAAGAATTCAGGATTACGCTCTTTTTGAAATGTCAGTGTCTACTACACTTTTATGATGGATTTGGGGGGAAATCAAAATTGGATTGAGCTTCATTCATTAAACAAGGATGATTGATTTAAATGGAATTTTGCTGTTCTATATGTTGAGCATGCTTTAATTTTTCGTGCTAAATAAAAGCATGTATATTGTGAAACACTTATGTTTTATATTGATATTTTTTGTACGATATTTTACCTCTACAGTAAAATGTATTTGACAATACATTGGCATTTCAAAAGAATCGTGACTGTGGGGTCCAATTCTTTGTACCTCTAAGCAGGTGATGTGTGTAAGTCAGGAGTGCTCCCTGGGGAGGAGTGAGCCCGGTCCTAATCTTCTGTGCTGACTCAGAGGGCTTATTTCAAGAACATGCAGTGTAGAATCTCTCTTGTGGCCATCCTCTCCACTCCCAGCTGTATTTGTGTTCAGCATTATCCTTACACTTATCCACCTCTGCCACACAAAGCAGTCCTCAAATTCCTCCTAATAACCATAAAATCCTTTGGAATATTATGGAACGTGTATATGGCACTATTGAAAACCGGATAACTTGCTTAGTTCAATGTAATTCAATTGCGCATGGCTCATGTAAATCTGGGCGCACCAAAAGATTTTTGAAAGACCAGTTAATTTTGGCCTACCTGGAAACTATTTCTACTTAATTTATGCTGGTATGTAGCCATGTAAACCGAATTCTACTGAGGCATGGCAAGCAGTAGCATTTAAGAGCATATACACTCACTTATTTTGATCATGCAATAAAGTTGCCATTTGAGTGTCACACAAGTTGATTTGCTCAATGGCACCAGAGTGGTCAGATCGGTTTGGGAGCAATGCCAAATGGAATCTGTATTTTTAGTGTACTTATGCTTTGTAAACTTACTCGGCCATTTTTTAACCTTTCACTTGCTGGTATTCAAACATATACCTCTAGTGCAAACTGAGATGACAACAGTAATACTACCTTTGTGTAATTTAATAACTTTGTAATGTTTGTAGAAAATAGTTGTGACATTTTCCATTTTTGTTTTAGCTTAAAGAAACTTTATCTCTTTCTTTCAGGACTGTGGCTGCCACTAACATGAATGAAACCAGCAGCAGGTCACATGCAGTGTTCACCATTGTCTTCACGCAGAAAAAACACGACAACGAATCGGACCTCTCCACAGAAAAGGTCAGCGTGCTTACTTCTTTCAGCTGAATGAGGCCTTTATCCTATATGAGCCCCACTGTCTGTTGTTATGAGGACTGATTATTTTACTGGTTGTGTACAATTATTTTCACCTTTTATTTCACTGCTTTAATCCACTTGCAACTTGTTACTGCTAATTTGAATTGTTGCCATTATGATGCAGAGCGTTTCCTCTGAATTGCGTAAAACAAAGGACCCACTCTTCTGAAAACATAGGGCCTATTGTAGCAAACAACATCCGTTTTATTTTTTAACAAAGAGTTCAAGGAGTTGTTTTTTCGCTTTCAGGTCAGCAAAATCAGTCTCGTAGATTTGGCAGGAAGTGAACGTGCGGACTCCACTGGTGCTAAGGGAACCAGGCTAAAGGTATGACTCATCACAGCAATATATATTCAAACTGTCTGCAATATTCCGTGTTTATATATTTCAATGATTCGTTTCAGGAGGGAGCAAACATCAACAAGTCTTTGACCACATTAGGGAAAGTCATATCTGCCCTCGCTGAAGTGGTGAGTGTTTTTCCGTTTGGCCCTCCTCTCATGTTCTTATCCACATAGTCTTGTCTTTGGGAGGAGATTAGGTTGAGAGTGAGGCATGCTGTAATATTTACCCTTCTGTTGTTTCCTACTCTTTAATGCCTGCTATCTCAGGACAACTGTACCAGCAAGGTAAACCTCCAGACAGCCCAGCCACTCTCTTCATATCCAGCCTGATATGACGGCGTGTTGCACTGTGCTAGTTCATTTTACTGCTGAATTGTGTTCATTTTACAGCTAAATTGAGATTATTGGTGAATTATTTGTATAGTAGCAACATGCACTTACATAGCATGGAACTTCAACTTAATCAACATCTCTTAAATGATCTTTCCCTCTGTTTGTAGAGTAAGAAAAAGAAAAAGACTGACTTCATACCGTACAGAGACTCTGTTTTGACATGGCTTCTAAGGGAGAACTTGGGTAAGACGCGTTTATCTGCAATTCTGTAGTATTACAAGAAAGGGGAATTTATTTAATGTGTGGCTCGTATTTCATATCTTCACCTGCAAGAAAATATTAGCCACCTGCACCATGTCAGAATAATAAATGGAAAGCAGACTTAAGCCATTTTACGAAGAACACGGTCAGCATGCTGCTATTTAACTTGACAAGCACTCTGTTACCTCAGTCACAAATGTTTACAGTAGATCTCCCTTATTTGGTGCTACATTTAGCGTTTGGCTGTTTAGAGTCAAAACACTGCCAGTCATACATTATCTCAGCCTCACATTGAACAGATCAATCATGGGTTATCATTATCTCAGTGTGGGTCCTTTCTGACCATGAAATTCATTCCAGGTGGAAACTCCAGGACGGCCATGGTTGCTGCTCTGAGTCCTGCTGATATCAACTATGATGAGACCCTCAGTACTCTCCGGTAAGTTTTCAGGCGAGGCGCATTCAATAAAAAATGGTTTTCTGATCTGATTGGGTCTTGAAAATCAGTAACGTCAAAATAACCATACATTATTGTTATTATTATTATAACCTATTAATACACCTGTTCATGTATCTGAACATGCATATGAAGCGGGAACTATTAGTCTTCTGTGTCTTTGTCTTATATTTGATCTGAAAAAGAATTTCTTTACATTTCAAATAAATGCAAGGGGAAAACACACAATTGGATTGTAAAGTATTGATCTAATTGACTGTGCTATTTTGTTTTTTAACCTAGTACACTGGGTTGTCATTGATGTATCTTTAAGCAATGTTATGGAAATGTGTAAAATTATTCGAGGGTAAACTTCATTGAGATATAATTTAAGTAAGGACAACATACACAATAATGTAGAAAAAGGGCATTAAGCTGTGGCAGAATCCATTGGCAAACCTAAGAGGAAGGCAGAAGTTCTTTGAGCCTGGAACAAAGCCACAACACGGCATGAAGAAGATTGAACAGAATCGTATCAATTAGTTAAGGAGGGCGCCAAACCCTTTATAAATCTTCAACCTCCTAAGCAAAGGCGCCAGCATGTCTGAATAAGCACAAAGACCCTATGTTGGGCCTTATAATGGACAATTGAACTAAAATGTTGATCGAAAATACACTGAACAATAGGGGTGGGAACCTAAGGGTACCTCACGATACGATACAATACACGATACAAAGCTCACGATAACGATAATATCACGATAACGATATTACGATAACGATTTTATCACGATATGACGATTATTGATATATTGGTCAGAAATATACAATATGCCAATTTATGGCATAAATAAAAGAAAAAATACTCTTTATTTCATGATTAATATAATGGAGATGCGCAATGTAGCCATATATTAAGTATTGATACCAATTCTAAAAAAAAATTATTATTATTATTTTTTTTTCAAAATCGATATCGATACTTCGCAAATGCATATTGATAATCGAATCGCGGGAGAAAGTATCGCGATATATCGAAAAATTGATATATCGTCACACCCCTACTGAACAATAGCACCTAATATTTTTATTCTATTGTATGTTTCAGTTATGCTGACAGGGCCAAGAATATTAAATGTAACGCAGTCATCAACGAAGATCCCAACAACAAGTTGGTACGTGACCTCAAAGATGAAGTGGCCCGACTCAAGGAGCTGCTGCAAGCACAGGGCCTGGGAGACATCCTGGACAGTGAGTTTCATGTAAAGTCATCAGAAAGTCAACACAGCACACAACTCTATATTGGAGGGTCAAATCTCTTTCTGCATGACTCACTGTTGCTACATTCTTTATTTCTATTTTGTAAAATTGACCTGATTTGTAGATATCATAAAACCTGACATAGCTTAGCATTATGTTGTTCATCTGGATCAAATTGTGTTAATATCTTATGACCAAAGGCCTTTTGTCTTTTTGATTAGTAATTGTTATAAAATTGAATTTTCAAACTTCTCTAACATAGCACCCGTAGTTTGTCCAGTTAACATAGATTACAAAGAGGATTGCAGTTTATTACATAGTTCAATTTGTAGATTGAATTGCAGAATCGGGGATAGTGATTAAAGAAATGTCTCAAACTGTATATACGTTGTTTTGTTGTGCAATTTAGAACATAATCATGGCCAATCATCTCCAAACATGTGATAACAATATATTAACATTATATTTGACTGAACCATCTCAAACACTGGACTAACCCTTCATCACAAATATAACATCAGAGTTGACCGCTCATTCTCATATGTTGCCGTGTCTGTAGTGGTTTCCTCTCATTGTTCTGTTGCTGACATGTTTCATCTTCTCCCTCAGTCGATCCTATGGGGGATGATTACCCAGGAAGTGGAATAAAATGTGTGTATATGTGGGCTAGCTGAGCAATAACTGAAAGCTCTGACTTAACATTGTTCTCAACGACAGTATAAGCCTGCTTCACTTTTGCATGCCTCTCAAGCAAAAAATGTGAGAAATGCAAGGTGTTTGATAAGAAAAGCATGAAGCTGCTTCATGCTGCACAATGAGGGCGGTGAGGCAGCTCAAGGCACAGCTTTTAATGTCATAAGCTTCAATTAAATGCGCATTGGAATAACTCCCATCTCCCCTGCCCCCAGACTTCCATGCTCACTCATTTGTTGTCTGTGTGCTTTCTTTTTGTTTTTGTTTGACAAACAATGTGCTGAAGCTGCGGCTCAGAGCTACCGAAGAAAAGGTGCATGATTTGAACAGTAGCTAGCTAATTGTAGTAAGAAGTTGCCATCTCTCCTCCTGAAACCTTTAGATTCCTGTTGAAATAATTTGGAACTTCAAACCCTTACTATTTTAGTCCTAGTCCTAGTAACGTGTGATGCTTAGATTCAACATTTGATGCAAATGTCATAACTGCATATCAAATTCACCTGCATGAACTTATGGGATGTACGTTGACTTGACATTGTGAGCCTACACTTTAATAGCTATTGTTTTAATTGTGGTTTGGATTGAGGTGGAGGCTCAGTTTCCCAGCTGTCCTTGAATGCGTTATGTTAGCCTGAGCTGGCCGACCTTTTGCGAGGCTGCAGTGTTTGTTACACTGTGTTTGTGCACTGGGGTGACTCAAAGCGCTTGACTGGGCTGAACTCTGACTGCATGTAGCAACTACTGTATCTGTCACCCCACTTGACTAGTTTTTTTGGGACTTTTGAGCTCCCCTCATCCCAAGTGATCACTGATGGCAGTTTTCACTAAATAAAGCAACAACGCACAATAGTTTTATGTCATTGTTGCTTATTTGACCGTTTTCCAACCTTTGTAAGAACCTTCCATTGGCAACAAATTTGGCTTGACTAAATGTCTTGAAACATAATATTCCAGGCCCATCAATTCGAACCTACACACATTAATATCATAGTAATATTCTGAATATTCAACTCAGAAGACCTTCAAGTTTGTGGGATTGCTTTCATAGTTCATCACTTGGGTGAAAACTGCACTATAGCTGGCAGTAACTATAGCAGTTATCCTAATGTACAATGTATGTCTTACATCTCCCTTGTCTTCTCTTCCTTGTTTTGTCCCATTTGTTTTTCATTTTGTGGTTTATCGTTCCTCTCCTCACTCCCTGTCCTCCACATCCTCCTTTCCCCTTCTCTCTGTTTCTCGCTGTGGCCTCAGACCTGAAAGAATTTCACAACAATAAGAATAGATACTTGCTAGCCTCAGAGAATCAACGGCCTGGCCATTTCTCCACAGCACCCATGGGCTCTCTGACAGCCTCTCCGTCCCTGGGCACGCTCTGCACCCAGGGCCTGCAGTCTGTCTCCAGCATCCAGGAACGCATCATGTCCACGCCTGGAGGAGAGGAGGCTATCGAGAGGCTCAAGGTAAAACAGAGACAGTCAATGACAAAGTTGTGCAACATCTGCAAAATGTATAGCAATGGAAATGATGCAGAGAGTTTTACCAACTAAAGAAGAAAACTGTATTTATGTTTATTAGAGCTTTATATAATATATTTTTCAAAACTAGATCTGTTAGAAGCATCCTTTTAAATGAATATTTACAAAAAGATAGACTTAATTACTATTATATCCAGATTGAATCACTTCTCCTATGGCATATACATTTTAAAATAATAATAAAGTCAAATTAGTCAAAAATCCAGTTGACTAAGATGCCACTGACTAAATCTACTACATAATGAATATGCTATAGTTATTCAAGAAAGACTTATCAGCTATTGAATATTGTTACCTAATACCTATACTCCAGTTAGTAATGTAATCACCAGGGTTTATTTGTCTTTCTGTTTGTTAGTTTGTAACAACTCAAAATATTTTTCCGAAACTCTCAGTAAATGGAGATTTTTGACATGATCCAGATCGCTGCCTGGATCAAAGATTTTTTAGATAATAATTCGAGGAACCTATAGATCTGTATAGTCTATGTATACTTTCATTATATTGTCATAATGTTAAGCTTAAACAATGATCAGCCTTCATAAATATGGACATTACACTCAATGAAGATATAGATATAGATAATATAGCTGACAATTTATTAGTGGCACATTTAACACACATACTCTAACTGTAGTATTTTAGCCTCAGCGTTTACTCCATTATCTTCTCTCTCTCTTATCTGCACAACACTCACGTTTGTTTATGAAGTTCAAAGACGGGGGAGCGCATAGAGCTGCAGCATCCCACACTCACGAACTGCAGTTTCCATGGCAACCTCAGAGAGCTCTGTCTGTCATCGAGTGACGTCAAAACCCAATGCACGCACGGGGAAATTAGACCAAAATAGAACCAGACTTTGTGGCCTTTTAGCGTTGGCGGCACGGACCAATGAATTATACATGACATACTTAATTACAATCTGGTATTCTAATCATGCATTTCTGTTTTACATCTATTGTTACATGCAAGGAAGATGCATACTAGTAGTTTTAACCTAGATTCCGGCCACATAATTTCATGATTTGCTTTATTTACGTGAGCGCTGGCCTTTGACAAAAAGTAATTATCTTTTTGTAACCCTTTTTACACAGGAATCTGAAAAGATTATTGCAGAGCTGAATGAGACCTGGGAAGAGAAACTGCGTAAAACTGAGGCGATCCGCATGGAGAGGTCAGTGCCAGCAGCAGCAGTAGATCTCTCGCTCCTTGTGTTTCCAGGGTTGAGTGGTTTGTCTCTCGGGGCATCACTCTTTGGATCTGTCTGTCTCGGGCACCTCCCCATGGCTGGCTTTCCACCCCTCCACCTCTCTAGTTGGACTGTCTGTCCCACTCTTCATTGTCTGTGCTCCTACTCTACCAATTTTCATTCCCTGTGTAATATAAAAAATTATTTAAATGTATGGCACATTTTTTCCCTCAATTTTCTTCAATTATCACTATAGACTAGGGTTATATGTGACTTGGTGCTGTATAGTCCTGATCATGTGGAAGCCCTCTATGCGTTTATTTTCAAATATAGACATAAAAATACATTGTTTGTGACAATAATTATTCCTCTGCTGCACAAGAACCACCTCCGGATTTGATAGAAATAGCTTTAATCTGTTGCCAGATTATTCTTTATCTTTAGGCAATGACGCATCAAAACAACGGCAGAATGGCTAATGTAGGATTTAATACTGTTGTCTTTCAAAAGAATTTCAGAAAACTTTCAGCAATTGTTGATGCTTATTTGGCATATATTTGCATATATTTAAATATAACATCACCTGTAACTAATTATCATAATCACATGGTAAAATTTTTCACAATGCTTGATGCATACGATAATGATTATCATAGAAGTATAAGTTCCTAGTGAGTGAGTGAGTATGATTGGACAATCTGGGTTATATTATTCAGTGCATTTAGAAGGGGGCAGGAACATGTGTGAATTTTCATTTGCTTTATTTGACATTGTATTTATTGATGATTTTTGTTGGAATCTGATCTGTTAATAGCCCTTGGAACTGGTGTTACAAAGCATTCATGGCTAAAATACTTAAATCTATGCCATCGCTAAAAATAAATTAAAAACACAAATACATCAGATAATCACCATACATGCACATTATTGTAAGCTTACAGACTTTTCTCTTGCAGGGAGGCCTTACTTGCAGAAATGGGTGTTGCAATCCGTGAAGATGGTGGTACATTGGGCGTCTTCTCTCCTAAAAAGGTAATTTTGGAGATGAACCAGGCAGATACTGACTTTTCCATCATCACTTCCTCAGCTGAGTCTGTGTGATCTTTCTCATGGGAACTTCCCTTCATTGTCCTTGTATTTTCTCACTCTATCGTCTCTTTTCCTTTCTTTTTGTATTTGGTTTTTAGCTTAGTCAGGAATTTGAGGGTCCATTTGATTTGCCAATCCAAAAGGTTTGTTGAATTGCGTTTGTTGTGACCATACCTGACAGGAATAGATTAAATTACGCTGATTATTGTAATATTTCTCAAACAAAAAACTCCCATATTAAAGAAAGAGTTTATAGCTTTAGCTTGCTTTTTTCCCCACTCCTTGCAAGTTTTGTAGAGTTAAATGTGTAATTTTGTGTCATATTAGCAGTCCTTAGATCAACACTTTGCAGTAAATACACCCATAGCTTTTCTCAGCTTTTCCCTTACACTGCATTTTTGTTTTTCTGTTTACACATATTTACTTTCCATTTTCTTCTCACCATTGCTTTTCCATGGGTTAGCATCTTGTTCAGAAGTCTTTTGACCTCTATATAGATCATGGGTTCTTTTCCCCAAAAAAGGTTGGTGTTTGAAGCCATAGACTGTCGCTTTTAAATGTTGAAGAATATGTCACTGTGATCCTCAAATCATGCTGTGTCATGTTTCGTGTCTAGACTCCACATCTGGTCAACCTGAACGAGGATCCACTCATGTCAGAGTGTCTGCTGTATTACATCAAAGACGGCATCACAAGGTAATACTGACTTCAATACAGACTGTGAAATCAAGATCATAGTCCAAGGAAAAGGCATTGTTTTGGTTTTCTCTATCTGTAATCCATGTCAAATGATGAATCATGAGTTCGTTTTGCACATGCTGCCGATCAAGGTGTATGAATGCAGAGTGAAAATCCTATATGAAAACATATAAAGCCTGAAATCATTCGCTTCCACATTGATTCATCAACAGTTCTAATGAGGATGGTTTTATTTTTGGAAAAACCAAATGGTGTCAAATTTTTACTCTAGGGTGGGCCAAGCAGATGCTGAAAGACGTCAGGACATTGTTCTGAGTGGAGCTCATATAAAAGAGGAGCACTGCATTTTTCGCAGTGAAAGAAATGCAAACGGAGATGGTAAGAAATAAAGTAGATCTTGCATTTGCATATCTGATTTTGCCAAGTGCCTTATATCAGTCAAGTGAACTTACAATGTTTTGATTTCTGTAAAAGTGGTGGTCTTGTTGGTGCCTTGTGAGGGTTCAGAGACCTACGTCAATGGAAAACGTGTTGAAGATGCCATCCAACTGCGCTCAGGTACAAGATTTACTTGACATAAAAATCTATTAAAATGTATTTCTGATGGGTACCTAACATTGATACAGTGGAATATTGAGGCTGACTTTTTCCGCACTGTGCTTTTTACTCCATTCTTCAGGCAACCGCATAATCATGGGCAAGAACCATGTTTTCCGGTTCAACCACCCAGAACAGGCCCGTGCCGATAGGGAGAAGACGCCATCCGCTGAGACCCCCGTGGAGCCTGTGGACTGGACCTTTGCCCAGAGAGAGCTGTTGGAGAAACAGGGCATCGATATGAAGCAAGAAATGGAGAAAAGGTGAGCGGCCGTTATATTCTACAGGTTAAGATCTGAATATGATTACCCTCATTCAAGTCCTATGTATTTCCCTGGCATTTTCCTGTGTAGCGGTTTATGTGAATGACAATTAAGTGAGTCCTGTGATTTTCTAATTTCAGTGCACAGTACCTAGTAACATTACCAGGATCCTCTAATCAACTTGTAACCAGGAATGATAGGAAAATGATGTAATACAATCCATTCACATAAACAAAGAGGTTTCTGTGAATGGAGCTTTTGATATGCCTTGTTTAGACTGACTGAAATGGAGATCCTATACAAAACAATTTTTTGGAAAATTGTTATTATTATTATTAATAATTTATTATTCATCATAATCCGTTAATAATGTGGCTTTTATAACAAGTAAAGAGTGTGTTAAGACACCTTGTTTGTGGGCTTATATTATTTCGTGTGGTGTTGAATTATAATATTTACTATTTGTTAGCTCTGTTCCAGAACTAATGATAAAGCTCACATTTGCTTCTTAGTGCGTTTATGTGAATAGCACAGAGAGCCAATACAGGAAAGTTCTAAGAAAATACATAGGTATTGTTTTTTTGTAAATTGCACTATTGTCAGAGCTTACCGGGAACTGTTCCCGCGACTCACATGGGAGGTTTATGTGAATGGAGCTTTTGACATGCTTTGTCTTGTTTAGACTGACTGAAATGGAGATCCTATACAAAAAAGAGAAGGAAGAAGCGGATCAGCTCTTGGAACAACAGAGACTGGTGAGTGGAGACATCATTGAACGACCTCTTCAATAGGGCAGTATAGAGCCAGATTCACAATGAGGGACAGTTTGAAGCCATGGCACAAAAGTTTTGCAGCGAAAAAGCTAAATTGAAAACAAATTTTAAAAGTACTAGTATTTATATACAGTTTTGTAATAATAATTTATTTTTATTTTTTTGTGTGGAAGTTTATTAATTTCTATTACTGCTATCCACAAAAAATACGGCAATTAAGTTAAGACATGTATGCTCAATTAATTTAAAACTTAAAACAGTCCAAAACAATATACCATTCTTGAATACAGTAATTTCAGCATTTGTATTTATTTCTTCCTGTAGATATACACACAAAATTACCCTTGTAGTTGGGATTCGATAACTGTTTTCTATTGAAAGCTGTATTAATATGGATACAGTTTGACTTACTGCATTTCAACGGTTGTGAAACTGGCTCATGTTTTCAGAGGATCCATTTGTGTCTAGAACATCTGATCTTGCTTAGCTTGTTTAATTTTGAACTGATTTTAGAATACATTTTGACGATTATGTGATAAAAAGCTAAAGCATGGTCCTGGCTCCTTGAATAAAGTCTTGGGCTTTTGGATCCTCCTGTAGTTCCCCTGGATCTGTTTTAAACCTGTCTAGTACTAATTCTCACTCTGAGCTCTGACACTGAGATGTGTGTGAAGCGCATGTCCGTTCGTCTTGCATGAAGGATTTCCAGGATTTCCCTCATCTCCTTTGATTTCCTGTAGTTATTTGATTGAGTCTGAAATAGACTTGGAATCTATTTTCTCCCCTTTTTCTTGTATTTCCCATAGAATATTAGGAATCCTGCAAAACAGCACCCGAATCCTAATGTAAAATTCTTCACCAAAGAGACAAAATGTTGTCTCTATGTAATATTCTATGGATATATTTTGTAGATGGGTTTTCAAGCAACGCTGCTTTGCATGGTTCTTGTTTATAATAGCATGGTTTCTTAACTTCTTGAGTGTTGGTTCTGAACTGATGTGATGTCAACTTTGGGGCAGCTGTTGATTTGCTTGATTTAGATTTTCTGCTCTAGTTTTCTTGCTCTGTTTTGTCTTGAGTTTGATTCCTTCAATGCAGTTGCTGACCAGTTCAATGCATTGTCTTAACTCGTAGTTTTTTCAGATTAGTGACAATGTGGTTTCTCATTGACTTCTTTGGCTACCCTTTGCTTTTTTGTTTAGCACACTAAGGCTTGGCAACAGAGATTTATTTGTCAAAGTTTTACATAATCTTCGTTTCATGCGCCATGCAGGAACACAATACAGGGATTCCATCTCACCAAATCTCTCTTATGGCACACTGATATCCTCAAAATGGAAAACCAACCAGTTGTGATCTGTAATGGACTTTGTCAATAGAAATGAGAAACTGCATTTTTCTTACTAACATTTTTCTTGTAGTGGATTAATCTCTCTCAAATCTGCCTTATGTCTTTCTACTGGCTTTTTGATCGGCTGCACAACTCTGCTAACACAAATCTAACACTGAAACCTTCTGGACTAAAGGACAAATTTCCTAAATGGAACTACATGCATGCCATGAGGATCTGAAGACGAAGACTATCACAAGGCTTCAATTGGTGCCTTTTCTTCATTGATTTTTCTTTATCTAATATTATATACATGCTTTACCTTTTACTTATCAGTATGCAACATTGGGAACAACCATCACAACCATTGCCACAAATTCCATTCACTCATTGCTCATCATCAGTAAATCATTATTTAAAAAATATAAACAAGAAAGTCAATGAAAGCCACTTTTGGTTGGATTTCAGTTTTAAATTGTTTTAATTTACTCTGTGTTGTTGTTGGCATACATTACATTCATCATTAATGTATGCAGAAAATAATACATCTTGAATGTGCGTTGATGCTCCAGAAGTTATTTAAATCAAATGATTCATCATTCCTGTTCCCATGTTGCATATCTATAATTTGATTCATTCTTTTTAAACAAAAGTCATCTTTTCATCTTCCTTTGATTTCTCATTGTAATTTCTCCTTTTTGGGGCCCATTTGGTTTGTTTTCTTAAGGATGGAGACTCTGATAGTGGGGATGACTCAGATAAGCGATCATGTGAAGAGAGCTGGAGACTGATTACATCTCTGAGGGAAAAGCTGCCCCCCAGCAAAGTCCAGACCATAGTGAAAAAGTGTGGCTTGCCCAGCAGCGGCAAAAAGAGGGAGCCTGTGAAGATGTACCAGATCCCCCAACGCCGCCGCATCACCAAGGATTCAAAGTGGGTCACCATCTCAGACCTGAAGATCCAGGCTGTCAAAGAGATCTGCTATGAAGTGGCTCTTAATGACTTCCGCCACACACGTCAGGAAATCGAAGCACTAGCGATTGTCAAAATGAAGGAGCTCTGTGCCAGCTACAGCAAGAAGGATCCCAATGAGCGAGACTCATGGAGGGCCGTGGCCCGGGATGTTTGGGACACTGTCGGTGTGGGAGACGAGCGCATCGAGGATGTCATCACCAACGGGACAAGGCCAGGGTCTGGTGTGATGGACGAGCTCAAAGTGCATATCGACAAACTGGAGGACATTCTTCAGGAGGTGAAGAAGCAGAACAACATGAAAGACCAGGAGATCAAAGTTTTGAGGAACAAAATGGTAAAAATGGAGAAGGTTCTGCCCCTCATGGACAGTCAGGATAAACCTCTGAGTGCCGGTACTGCCCAGGATCCTGGTTTACGCCCTGTTTCTCCTGCCGCTCTACCCTCCATTCTACCTCCTGCTTTGCCCTCTGCTCAGAGCTCTGTGCCCAGTCCCAGAGAGGGGAAGCCCCCAGTGCCTGAAAAGTTTGATTTTGAGGAATCAGATCCACAATCAGGCCCTGTGTCAGGAGAGGACCTGAAGAGGGTAAACATGCGCTGGATGCGGCCGGAACAGCAGCGCCTGAAAAATATGCAGCAACAAGAGATCTCTAAACAGTTGCGCAGGAACAACGGTCCGCACAGATTCATCCCACCAGAAGACCGTAAGCTGCGCTTCCCCTTCAGGAGTCACCCAAACCACAGAAACTCGTGGAGCCCTGGCACCCACATCATCATCACAGACCAGCAGGTGATTGAGCTGAAGGTGCCTAAAGACTCAGTACAGGAGGAAGAGGAGGAGGAGGCCTCTGCCGCAGAGGCTCAGTGCAGAGAGAGAGTAGCAGCTGCAGTGGTGCAGGTAGCCCCCACTCTGCCCAGCCCTGCGCCTCAGCGTAGGAACAGTGAGTCTGAACCCCACCAGGGGCCCAGGCACAACTATAGGAACCAACAGAAACAGCAGTATGAGCGTTTACGCAGCAACTCCTTCAACCACCGCCAGAGGCCGTCCGGATCTATGGAGTCTTTACAGCCCCCTGAGCCCAGGAGGCACATTCAGCCTTTTTACCCCCCTCGAAACCACCTGCCCCCGCACCTGGCCCTGCCGATGTTCCCTCCTCAGCAGTATCCCCAGCCCTGCCAGTACAACGGCATGTTTTACCCTGATGGCAACTACAATGGTTTCCAGGAGTACCCCCACGCTGACCAACCAAACCATTCAATCAGCTTCCAGCCCCCGCCCCGAATGCGCAGACAGTTGTCTGTTCCTAATCTCAAAGCCAACAGAGAGACAGTGGTTTGAACTAGTGTCAGTCTGATGTTTTCAGAACAAATACATTTCAGATCACAAACTGAGAACAACGCTGACTTTTGCACTTGAACAGTGGTATTGGTTGATCCAAAAATATGTGCTATCCATTGACATTTTATTGTTGTTGTAAAAAGCCGACTTCTGCTGCATTGTATTTTGCAAACATGAGGACAGGAAACATTTCTGGAGCAAATGGAGAGGGAAGATAATGACGAGACAGTGTTTAAACTCATGTGCCTAACCATTATTTAGATTGTTTGACAATTGATAAATCATGATTTCAAGTTTACATATTTGCCTTGTGTATTTTCATCAGTCATGTGGTCTGAGAACGGAGGAATTACACATTTGTTCTTGGCCACTATAACAGATATGTTTTTTTCTCAACTCATTGGATTAGATCAGGAATCTAACATCCAGTTTGTTACAGAAGTTATTTATTGATGCATTAGACATTTTCATTATATCTTTAATTGCAATCAAAAGGATCTAATCATGTTGCTTCACTTCCAACAACGCATTCACTCCTGTATATTGAGTTTTTTTGAGTAGCTCGAGTTTGTCTATTTTATCTGCCAGATCTAGTAATTATCATATGGCTAATGTATGGCTAACATGCTGTTAAAAAACAGTGATTTATTAAAAGATTGAAATGTGCTTCAGCCTCAATAATTACTCAGAGGCTTGCTTAACTCCAATCTTCTCCAAACTATATTTATTATTATATTGTTTTTATCATTTCTGTGTCTGAAATCTCAGCTTGGTCTATAAAAATCCACCATTATTATTTGAACTCAATATATATTTATATTTGTTTTAAATCTTGTTTTTAAATTTGCTCCCATAAAAGACAGATTTATAGATGGGGTCAAGCAATGTAGTTGCCCATTTAACATGCTGTGAGTCATAGCTTGGCACATGCCCCAAAAAAGTAAATTATGCAGTAATACACAGTAAAATATAGTTAAAAGTGAATAATTATAGTCATTGTTTTGCTTTCATTCTTTTTTGTTTAATAAAATGCTTGAAGTTTTTCTACTGATTAAGCCCTCTGCCTTATCTCATTTCAAATGGAGACCTCACAATCCAAAAAACTCACTGTACAAATGGAGCAGGAAAGACAAAGACTTGAACTAGGGTCTCCAACCCATTGTTCGGGAGCTAGCAATACCTCACCACCCCCTTTCAAGTGGCTTCTTTGACCATTTAGAAATGACAAATATTCTGATGTTTATTTCAAATGTTATGTTTCATATAAATAAAACTTTTTTTTAAATACATACTTTGACTATACCTATAAAAGGGCTTGTAGACAATAGACCAGGTACAGTTCCATTCCTAAGAAATTCCTGGATCCAGATGATACAAGTATAACTTCACTTGGATATTTTCATGCTTGTGTGCATTTGGGAAGCAATCAGCAGTGAGACATTGAAAATGTAGACTCAAGCTTTTTGGACGCACTGGAAATACGTGACAAAACACAAGCTGCACAGAACGGTCACAATGCTAACTCCTCTCTGCACACACGCTGTGGTGGCATTATTAAAGGCCGTTATTAACATGATCCTGCAGTTATGTCCAGCTGTTGATGAACACCATGCAGCCATGCAGCCTCATTGTTTCCTCACAATGCTGCAAACTTAAATTACTTTTTTATGACTTTTATTTACTGTCTTTTTTTCCAAACAACAGAACATACACCAATGTTGAGGACAGAAATCAATTAAACTGACACTGTACAAACAACCAAAAGTAAAGAAAAAACACTTCTTTAAGCCTATCCACAGTACTGATGGTCACTGTCGCGGAGCAGATAGAAACCTGTTTTGCTGAAGTGACTTCCTTCATGTGCATTAAAAGTGAGTTAATTAATTGGAGTCTCCTGTCTTGCTACTTTCTACATTTCTATTTTGGCCAAAAACTGCTCTCCTAAGATAAAAGTTTGGAGACCCCCGATTTAAATGTGTATTATTAGACATCCCATTTGATACATTTTTGTCAAATGAGATGTGGCCTTATGCTCTCTTAGTCTGCATTGTAGCTCCTCACTGTTGGTCTTTTGTTCAATGTTTTTAAAGTCTGTCTCTTGTCGTGTCTGCCTCTTCAACCATTCGTACATGTATCACAAATTGCCTTTCAATGATTACGTTGCAGCTTGAATGTTTTTTTTAACAACCAAACACAATCCTGCTTGAACCCATCCAAATGTTATGCCTCAGTATTATTCTATAACAAGAAACAAATAATTAAATGACCTGCAACTGTCATCATCACCTTCATGTGGTTATAGTATTATACCTTTGCATGCCAATCTCCCATATTATTATCATGTACATCAGTACTGGTGCTAATGGCTACAAAGTACTGAAGTACTGAAGTAAACTATCAAATAGAAATTGTGCAGTTAAGTGTTTTAAATATCAGATTCTTCATGTCATGTGTTTTGTCTGCCTCTTGAGGATATTTAGAAGTCCATATTTGAACAATATTGTTTCCTTTGTATATTATGTGTTACTGGACATTTATGGAAGGTATGGATGAAATAAAACATGATATGAGTGCAGTTTATTTGTTTGAAGTGATGGTATGAAACTGGTCAAAACAAACGGATGTTTGCCTGTCGTTGTTGTGGCCAGGCTGGATTGCAGCATATAAGGGGTTAATGACCAATGAAAAGCCCCCATTGTTCCTCCAGAAGACACTGAGCGCACCAGATGAGGTCATTGGGACCACAGCTTTCTGCCCAGAAGGGAATGGCGCCCCTCTTTGGATTAGGCTGGACTGAGCCTAACCCTCTCACTAGCTCTGCATTGCTTATGTTTTTATGCCCTTTATATTTTTCATTTATACTACAACATATTAGAAGAATTCTATTTCTTACTGTGTTAGGTTAACCTTTTTTCCAAGTCATTTTAAGTCTTGAGGCTTATCAACTCATGAAAATATCCATGTTCTATCCATAGAAATGCATAGGATTGGGTTTTAACTTGGGATTCGAGATTTAGAGCCGCATAGCCGTATTAAAGGAAGACTATATGGAGCGTGTTGTGAGTGATGAGGTGACCTCCTTCTCCCTGGATGCGCAGCAGTAGTCCATACGGAGTCACCCTGTATGTGTCCAGGTTTACGAGAGCAAACTGCAGGAGCTTCAGAAACAGGTGGAAACTCGATCACTGCTCGCTGAGACGCCTGACGAAGATGATTTGGAAGATGAGGAGGAAGAGGAAGGTGTGTGATATTTCTATAGTGCAGACAAGACGCCTACAAACAGTTCAGCTGAATAAATGTATTGTGTGCTCTACATTTTCTGTCTAGATCCTAAAGTATTTGGATGTACGTATGGAAACCAATTTCAAAAATCTTTTGTATTAACATTTGAATATATTTATTTCTGATAATGCCATAAATAATATTACCACTATTAAACTACACATAATCCTTAACATTACGTTTATCTGATTGTCCTTATGGAATTCATTTAACTTTTAACTGCAGTAACAGATGTTAATACATAAATTGGTGTAATTGAAATTCTGATGTATTAACTTTCAACGAATAAGAAAATTACAATGCGTTGATTCATTTAGAGTTGATCAGATGCATAGATGACTACATTCTGTTTATTGTACTATAAAAAATATTCTACCAAATGAACCTATTTCTCTAGTGATTTATATAATGTTATGAATCACATGCACAGTGCCGTGGACCCAGCACGAGTACGAGCGGGCGCAGTGGGCTTTCAGGAAGTGGAGGTTTCACCAGTTCACCTCCCTCCGAGACCAGCTGTGGGGCAATGCCGTCTATCTCAAAGAGGCCAATGCCATCAGTGTGGAGCTTAAGAAGAAGGTAGGTCACCCTCCCATTGATAAGATACATTTTGTATATTACATTAATCACTTCTTTAATGGTGGCACTTGAGCTCATTATATATGTAGTCCTCTGTAGTTTAACTATTAGTGTTTTAAAAATATGATTATCTTCTTTTTCATCGTCCTTTAGACTCGATGCGGTGGTACTCAGAAGGACAAATGTTTAGATCTCGCAGTGCTTGGAGGGTACAATTCATTGTAGATTACGAAGTGAAATGTTTTAGAACCTCTCCACTTGTCACATACATATGTTATATACTTGCTTGATTATAAAATAATGATAAAATTGGTCAAAAGATGTCAAAAGGTATTAACTACAAGTTTTGTTTGGAACTTGATGGGTTGTTGAAACTAGAAATTACTTTAGGAACTTCAACCTCAAAAATGATAAATCTTGTTATGCCGCTTGTAGCTACCGGTACTTACTTTATTGAAACAAATAGAGGGCAATTTCTACAAAGTACGGCATATTTAACAATATTATTCTTTGTCTTCAGGTCCAGTTTCAGTTTGTGCTGCTGACTGACACGCTGTACTCTCCGCTGCCTCCGGAGCTGCTGCCCCCTGAACCAGAGAAAGACCGGGACCCTAGACCGTTCCCCCGGACTGTTGTGGCTGTGGAAGTCCAAGACCTGAAGAACGGAGCCACACACTACTGGTCCCTCGAAAAACTCAAGTAAATATCATCTTCATTAGAAACTGGATTTTTATGTTCTAAATACAACTTATGTAAAGCAATGTAACTTATCTGTAATATTGCATTATTCAATTTACAAAAGTAGTAATGGAAATTATATTGCTGAACATACATAAACATAAATGGCTAAATGTCTTCTAACTTGTATTTACATTTTGGAGTTTTTTAGGTGTTTTGGGCTTTGCTTAAATGTACATAAGATTTAGGGTAGAAAATAAAATGTTTTTACTTCAAGACTGAAGCTCCCCAGGCTGTAAACCTGTACTGGGAAAGAAAACCCATGTTGTGTGAAATTTTGAAATCTTCTGATAACCCCCATAATGTTGTTTAAACTTTGACCTGCAAAGAAACCGCCTATTTAACTTTGATGTGTTTGGTGATTGACAGACTGCGACTGGACCAGATGAGAGAGATGTATGATCGCGCTGGGGAAATGGCCTCCAGTCACCAGGACGACGGAGAGGGCACGCTCACAGGGAACGACCCCTTCTACGACCGCTTCCACTGGTTCAAACTGGTCGGCAGGTACGTCATCATGACATAATCTTTTACACTATGTGATGTTTTTGAATAAAGTTGGCAACATTTAAGTGCATTTCATTATTTTCATGTTTATAATAAATATAATACATGTGTTGAATCTGTTTATACTTCATGGTTCATTTTCTTTTTTTGGGGGGGGGGGCAAATCTATGGGTGTGCTTTTTTTTTCCGTTACCATGTTGTGTCCTCATTTTAAAGTGACAATTAATTTTGTGTTTTTATTTTTTGTGTGTACCTGACCAGACTTTTTATGTTTTTTATTTGTTTCATTGAATTCAATTTAATTTGTAATTGTATTATTTATTCATCATATATGAATCTGGCAATCCTCTTTATGTGACCTGGTTAGCGCCTTTCTCTCCTTCCTAAGGTTTAAGAAAATGTGTGGTAATCTTTTGGGGCCTCTAATTTTTTTTTACTGATGCTTTTAGCATTACCTGCTCAAAATTAATCCATCTTATGGGTTTTTTGGTTTTACATTAAGTGAAATGTGTAATTTTGTGAGGCTTGACCTGAACACTTTTGCTCATGTATTCATTCAAGCATAATAATAGCATTTAATACAAGATTGATATGAATGGTTTGATTGAATCCAAAGTCAGTTCTTTCTTCTTATTTGTATTTAACTGTGATGATTCTCCTTAGGTCTTTCTTAGCCTACATTTGAAGAGTTTTTTCACACCGTAATTATTCTTTAATCACAGATGAATAGAGCTATTAATCTTTTCCTGAAGCCCATCCTTCCTGACACACTTCAGCGTGCCTACCGTTGGGGCATAATATTGAGAATGTCCGTGTTTCAGGCATGCCTATAGCATGTCCAATATGGCACAACATTACATTAGGCACTACTGAAGCTAGAAAGTTAATTTGTCATTCAGCCAACGTCAGCTCATGTAAATCAATATGAATATTATGTCATACCTAATTTTTTAAACCTTTTAACAGTCTGAATCTACTCAGAAAGGTTTTACAATCCGTGTTGTTGTCCCCTGGTGGTCTCTTACTACATTTTCTGTAGCCCCAGTAATACCCAATTTACATTTCCTTTACTACTGCTTGTAGCTTATTGGTAATGATACGGACTAAACTAAACAATATACCTTTCCCACTATTTTCACCCGAACAACCGTTCCTTCATGTAGCAGCTCGCCCATTTTCAACGGCTGTGTAAATGAGCACCTGGCGGACAGAACCCCATCTCCAACCTTCTCCACGACCGACTCGGAGGTCACAGAGCTGGCGGACGAGCGGCAGAGTGAGATGTCCGACCTCATTGATGACGAGGCCTTCGTGGATGACACCAGCTCTGACGCTGGGACAGAGGAGGGGTCCGACATATTCAGCGACGGTCAGGACCCCTTCTACGACCGCTCCCCCTGGTTCATCCTGGTGGGAAGGTTGGTGACTGCCATTTTGCACGAGAGCTGAGGCAGAGGCGCTGGCTGTATGTTCTTGAGGTGTATAGGTTATGAAGCTTTTCTCTGCTTTGCTACGTTAAAAGAACAGTCAATAGGTTGTGTTCATGTGACATCACAGAATTCCAAAGAGCCCGTAGTTTAAAATTGTGGTTAAGGGTAAATGGCGTCAGTACATATCAACTATACTCTTATTGTTTTATTTTGGATTTAAAATACAACATAAACTGATTAATCTGTGCTCACATATGACGTTACGATTCCTAGTCTTCCACGCTGAGAAAAACATTTCCAGAATCAGATCTTGTTTACACAGCAGTTTTTCAAAGATAAATTGAAGGCAGTTTTGAAGGAGTGATTAGTCAGCCTCCTGCACATAGAATGTCTTCTCTGTGTGAGTTTAAAATCAGAAGCCTCCACCGTCCTTCCAGCCTGACGCCTCATCTCCCACTGCTGCACCGCCTCTATTAACTCCATCTGTGATCATCAGCACCATGTCACGTTTGTTTTAATGGCCTGTCAAAGCCTGAATCATTTTTTTTTTTTCTCATGTTGTGATTTTATGTTTTAAAACAACATTTGTAAATTGTTTGCCTATTAAAACTAATTTTGCAATAGCAATTATAATCACATACAGTATACAATGTAAGGATGTCCCCGTGGGTTTTTATGGCAACATGGGCAATTGCACTTAACAGGTGAAACTCAGAATTTTTGAATATTTTTCAAAAGTCAAAGTGAGATATCTCAATGTTTATTTCTTATCATAATTGTTTCTAAGCTTATAAACACACAATATAAAAAACAAGAAATAGATTTTTTTGAAAATAGACAGTAAGCAAGCAAATATAATTACAGATTCACAGATTCATTTTTGAACAGTTTCAGTTCCAGCTCAACAATACAATACAATACAATACAATTTATTCTTGTATAGCCCTAGGTCACAACAGAAGTCATCTGAGGACTTAACAAAACCATTGAAATCACCAACACAGATCAGAGAATCAACAGTTAAAACACATGAAGAATATAAAGCACACACAGAAGAAAATGTCCATACATGTTGTAGAATGCTAAAGTGTCCTGATCATCACCAATCCTTTCTGTCCAACAAGACCCTCCTGCATCGACAAGGAAAAACTCTTAAAAAACCCAGTGGGAAAAAGTGAGAAACCTTGGGGAGAACTAGGGAAACCCACAGGGAGGGAGACCCATTTGAGAAAGGGATCCGCTCCTCCGGACGGACAGGCTAATGATCCAGGACCTAAGCTAGCTACAGAATGTGGACCAGTGGCCGCTGAACGTGGGCAGGTCCGGTGCAGGACTGAAGCACTCCCAGGCGGGTCGGGCGGGGCAGTCCGCAGGTGTAGATGGAGGAGGCCAGGCTCAGAGATCCCGTCATCGTACCATGAAACAGACAATGGAACAATAATATATATTTCCTTCCTCACCATATCAAAACCAAATCAATACTAGCTCTGAGTTTAGTTTATCTCCGTCTAAATAAATAATGTGATGTAAACCTAATTAACCTCAATGGTAGAGATGCATTGTACTAGGTTATAGCGCTAATTTCCATCTGTAGTCCCTAGTTACATGTATGATATGTACCATATATCTGATACATGACACATTCCTGTTTTTATGTCTAGTGGCCAAAAACATAATGATGATTTTTAAAATAAGAACCACTATTCATTGAATGTGTTGATTATAGCCAGACATGGTGAGTCAAAGCAGCAGGGAGCAAAACACTGTCCCCGCTCCAGCCGTAGCTCAGGATCTGCGTCACTGTAACTTCAGATCTGCCTGATTTATTTCTCTCCCCTTCACTTTGGCCTTGGAGCAGTGAGAGCAGCAAAACATAATCCCACAAATAAAACAACCAACCTTGTAAACGGCAAACTAGGAGATATACAAGACGACAAAATGTACTAGAATATCCTATGTATGCTGTAGGATGAAAACAACTATGTAGTTTTGTCGTAACATTTTTGCATAATCACACAAAACTACATATTAGAAATGTTAGGAAAAGGCGCCACCACATTGAAAAACAACAAAATAGACTTTTCTATGTTTTTTTTGTTGTCCTTGTCCATGGTTTGAGATCCCATTTGTCATGTTTTGCCCTGTCATTGTTGTATGTAAATAGTTCACACTTTGATTCATTTTTGCTTGGGGTAAGACAATACTTGAACTATTTAAAAGCATTAATTTTGTGTTGTAATAATTCATCCTAATTTGTGAGGAATACAATCAGTTTTGTGATGTTCCGCCTCTTTTTCTCCTCAGGGCTTTCGTCTACCTAAGTAACCTGCTGTACCCGGTCCCGCTGGTGCACCGCGTTGCCGTAGTAACGGAGAAGGGCGAGGTGCGTGGTTTCCTGCGTGTGGGGGTCCAGGCTATAGCTGGTGAGTAATTAATGAGGCTCCCAAATGAGTCGTTACAGACACATGCCTTTCCACACCCTACAGTATAACTCGGGATGACATTTACAATGCTCATTCTATATGCCAGCTGGACCAGTAATTCTTCATGTATTTTTGCATTAGACATTTTTTAACATCATTACATCAGAATTTAAACCTAATTGCCAGATATTGTAAAGGTTAGACTAATGAGATTATATTCCAAGCTCTGACAAGGCTTTTACCGCCTGCTCTCCCCTTTGACAATATGAATAAATTGAATGGGAATTGAAAATTAATAGTACAGTAAATATTGCATTTGTTATTTAGATTATTTTCCCCCCAAGTCCTTGACTGACTGTGACAGAAACTCTCTTTCTTTGATGAAGTGTCTATTTTGGTCTTTTCTGAAAGCCTGCTTTAGATCCTTAAACACTGTGGTTTGTCTTTGTAGCTGACGAGGAGGCTCCCGACTACGGGTCAGGAGTGAGACAGTCTGGAACAGCCAAGATCTCATTTGATGATGAGTATTTCAAAAAGGTGAGTCCCGTTCACTTAAAATAGAACTCTGCTAAAAGAGTCTGCTAAATAGCCAAGATCTTTTCGCATTTCTACTCTTTTCAAAAACTACCACTGCAACAGTTATTGTGGCTTCTGCTTATTCCTGATTCTGCTACTACACACTACTTCTATTACTACTAAAGAAAAACTATTATTACTGCAATTAGTACTTTTATTATTACAACTGCTGCTACTATTCCTCAAAACAATGTACAGTGCCTTGCGAAAGTATTGAACCTTTCAACATTTCGACACATTTCAGGCTTCAAACATAAAGATATAAAATTTTAAATTTTTGTCATGAATCAACAACAAGTGGGACACAATCGTGAAGTGGAACGAAATGTATTGGATAATTTAAACTTTTTTAACAAATAAAAAACTGAAAAGTGGGGTGTGCAATATTATTCGGCCCCTTTACTTTCAGTGCAGCAAACTCACTCCAGAAGTTCAGTGAGGATCTTTGAATGATCCAATGTTGTCCTAAATGACTGATGATGATGATAAATAGAATGCACCTGTGTGTAATCAAGTCTCCGTATAAATGCACCTGCTCTTTGATAGTCTCAGGGTTCTGTTTAAAGCGCAGAGAGAACAATGAAGACAAAGGAACACACCAGGCAGGTCCGAGATACTGTTGTGGAGAAGTTTAAAGCCGGATTTGGATACAAAAAGATTTCCCAAGCTTTAAACATCTCAAGGAGCACTGTGCAAGCAATCATATTGAAATGGAAGGAGTATCAGACCACTGCAAATCCAGAGAGGAGCAGAGAGACGGAGACGCGAGGAGCAGAGAGAGACAGAGAGGAGCAGAGAGACGGAGACGCGAGGAGAGAGAGACGCGAGGAGAGAGAGACGCGAGGAACATAAACAATAATTTAAACAAGTTGCAGAACTCTTGAGCAGTGTTTGAATCAGTGTTTTTTCGGAAAAGCACTACTTTGCCGGTATCTGTCAATGTTCAACATAAAACACAGATTAACAAACTCCTCCCCCGCAGCCGGACTAACCTCGTAAGTCCAGTGGTGGTCTCCCCAGTCTATATTAATTCTTTCTTTGTTTGAAAGTCCAATTGAGAAAAAAAATCTTCATTCAAATCATCCATTTTCCAGCAAAAGAAATAGCATTTTGGGCTGATTGTTTGTTAGCAACTCTGGTATGAACTTTATGCTCACTATCACCCCTAGCGGTGAGGCACAGATACCGCCTGCCTCACGCCAAGCTTTTTCCTTGTGTGTTCATCTACGATCAAAAGACTTAAACTAAATATAAATTGTACACACATACGTGCAATACACTACTAAACACTAAGAGGAGTTTAAAAAATGTTTTTAAAGCAGGATATTTGAAACAAACGGTGATATATCAACTGCACGAGCTGAGTGCACTCAGACACACACACACACACACTGTGAGGGAGCGGTCTGGGGTGAGGCACGCAGGAGCGCTGCCTCACCTCGTCTCTTTGAATAGGAATAACGGGATTTCGGCGATTTTGACTTCAGAAATGATCAAAACTGATGGGAACCGTGCCGAATATACATTAAAAGCATAGGACAGTGGATATAAATTATATATTTAAACTAAAATAATTATTAGTTTCCAATAATGGCAGGTGAGGCTCTGCCTCCCCTGCCTCCCCTGACTGCACGTCCCTGCTGCAAATCTACCAAGACCCGGCCGTCCCTCCAAACTTTCATCTCAAACAAGGAGAAGACTGATCCTAGATGCAGCCAAGAGGCCCATGATCACTCTGGATGAACTGCAGATAACTACAGCTGAGGTGGGAGAGTCTGTCCATAGGACAACAATCAGTCGTGCACTGCACAAATCTGGCCTTTATGAAAGAGTGGCAAGAAGAAAGCCATTTCTCAAAGATATCCATAAAAAGTCTCGTTTAAAGTTTGCCACAAGCCACCTGGGAGACACACCAAACATGTGGAAGAAGGTGCTCTGGTCAGATGAAACCAAAATCGAACTTTTTGGCCACAATGCAAAACGATATGTTTGGCGTAAAAGCTACACTGCTCATCACCCTGAACACACCATCCCCACTGTCAAACATGGTGGTGGCAGCATCATGGTTTGGGCCTGCTTTTCTTCAGCAGGGACAGGGAAGATGGCTAAAATTGATGGGAAGATTGATGGAGCCAAATACAAGACCATTCTGGAAGAAAACCAGTTGGAGTCTGCAAAAGACTTGAGACTGGGACGGAGATTTATCTTCCAACAGGACAATGATCCAAAACATAAAGCCAAATCTACAATGGAATGGTTCACAAATAGACGTATCCAGGCGTTAGAATGGCCAAGTCAAAGTCCAGACCTGAATCCAATCGAGAATCTGTGGAAAGAGCTGAAGACTGCTGTTCACAAACGCTCTCCATCCAACCTCACTGAGCTCGAGCTGTTTTGCAAGGAAGAATGGGCAAGAATTCCAGTCTCTCGATGTGCAAAACTGATAGAGACATACCCCAAGCGACTTGCAGCTGTAATTGCAGCAAAAGGTGGCGCTACAAAGTAAAGTATAGTTAAATTATCCAATAAATTTTGTTCCACTTCACGATTGTGTCCCACTTGTTGTTGATTCTTGACAAAAAAATATATTTTTATATCTTTATATTTGAAGCCTGAAATGTGGCGAAATGTTGAAAGGTTCAAGGGGGCCGAATACTTTGGCAAGGCACTGTATATCACAACTATTGACAATGGCTACTACCTCTGTATTACTATGATCAGGGGTTCTCAAAATGTGGTCCCAGCCCACATGTTGGGAGTCCCCCAAAACATGATTCAAACAATAATCTCCTCTTAAATACTACAATGTAGAGCAATATCCATTTATGAAAAATGTTGATTGAACTAACAACATCAGGCACCGAGGCTTAGTAACGCTCATGCCTCACAGCCAGATGGTCGCAAGTTCTATTCCTGTCCCCACCAACCAAAACATGCACCATAAAGTATATATGTTCCAGCTAAACTTTACTTCTACTGCTTCAGCTAAATGGAAATCTTATTCAGATGTCAGTTTGTGTAATCCTTTTTTGACACTTGAACAATCGTGCCGTCAGCTAGTATCTACAGAGTAATGGCCAGACAGACGTCAGGAAGGTTATGATCAAACTGAAGATGATGGGGCCAAGAATGGTACCTTGGGGAATACCTGTTTATCACATTGTCCTAAATAAATTGAACTTCAACCATTATTCCGTTATCCGTGACGTCACATGGTTTATGGTTCTAGAGGTGTGTCACTGGTGTGTGACAGTGGTATTAACGGAAAATTGTGAAAGAAATAAACGGTACCATAGTAAGCTTAGAAAAGGATCTTCAGACGCTGAATAAACATGAAGGTGAACATTGCTTCTTTGGTCGTCTGCATGCTGTTGTATGTTAATGCTCAGTGCTTTTTTGTGTCTGTCAAACCAGAATGATTTTCCATCCACGGTCATGACTCGGTCCGGCATGTCCCTGGAGGAGCTGCGCATCGTGGAGGGACAAGGCCAGAGTTCAGAGGCCATCACACCCTCAGAGGAGCTCAACCGAATCAATGACATGGGTACGGCCAGCAGACCACCTCCGTAAATCCTTAGCTCAACATGACACTCTCCCGGCAGATGGCGGGGCTCAATGCATGGGAGAACTTACTATAGTTGTTATGCAAATGAAGTCCCATGCAGGGGAATGTGCTAGAGTGGAGGCTACAAATCACATGGAAAACCTGTTGTGTTGAATTATGTAGATTTTAGTTCCTACTCTCATTGTCCCGTGCTGCAGTTGTGCAGCTGCAGGTCATTTTCAATACATCAAAGTCCTGAGTTGCTATTATTGTCTTTGTTTAGATCTTAAGCTGGGGAACATGGCCGACCCCAAGTTGAGTGAAGGTTTGGCAGGGCAGCTGGAGGTGGGCAGTATCTTCACATTCAGAGTCACTGTGCTACAGGCCAGTGGCATCCCTCCGGAGTATGCAGACATCTTCTGTCAGTTCAAGTAAGGATTGAGTAATATGTGACACCTTTGATGTTTCTGTAAAGCCAAAACCTAACATGCATTGTTCTTGTTCAGTTTCTTACACCGCCATGATGAAGCGTTTTCAACAGAACCGATAAAGAACACAGGGAAAGGCGCTCCACTGGGCTTTTACCATGTTCAAAATGTAAGCCTCTTTATATACAAAACAAATTAAATCAGTCCAAACAACTGAATATTTTTTGACCAGTGTGGCAAACCCCTATTACAATACATTATCTTGTTTGCTTTGATTCTTTTTCATAGAAACATCTTTGAATCCTATTGTCACACAAATGTACCTGTATAAATCATTTTTGAATTCTGAAAACTGGCAGGAATCTTAAAACTCATAGAAAGCCACAGACCAACCTTTTGAGAATGCATCTGTTAGATTTTTTTTGTTTTTTGTTCCTTGACCAGATCTCAGTGGAGGTGACCGAGTCCTTTATAGAGTACATCAAAACCAAACCTATTGTGTTTGAAGTGTTTGGACATTATCAGCAGCACCCACTGCACATTCACGGCCAGGACATAATCAGGTAAGTACCAATGGCCTGAAAATACACTGTAGTAAAACATTGGGTTTCAGGGTATTTTATTTAGTTATTTCTTTGCAGTCCTCCGATTCCTTCGAGAAAATATTACCCTATCCCTATGCCGCTCTCCAAACCAGGTATGGATCGTAATGTCATCAAAGTCACTCATTCATACCATTCTATTGCTTCTGCCATTGTTTCTCTTTCATTGTTTTGCATGACTCATCTATGTCCTCTTTATTTTGTCTCATTTGCGGCTTTCTCTGGATTTATTTCCATTTAATATCCCCCCCCCCCCACCCTTAATCCTCTTAACCCATTTCAAAACATCCTCCATTTTGCAAAAACACAACCGTAGACCACGCCCGAAAGATAGAGCTGGTCCGATACCTCATGAGTGGATATGTGAATGGGAAAGTGCTGGATACACTGTCTGAGCACGCTAATGCGCTGGCCGCCTCCGCCGTGGCCAGTTTGGACGATGAGCAGCTCTCTCACTTCCCTTTCATCCCAGTGCCCGATGACCCGGTGCTAACTGTGCCAAGCCACCATGGTTTGTCGACCAGAGCAGTAGGATTAGCAGCAAGAAAGTAGTTGTGCTCTTACAGTAGTGAATAGGCTGTGTTGTTTTTGTGCTTTAAATTATTTAGAAAGTTTTCCAAACACACCCTCTAATTAGTATTGTCTGTTAACATCTCAACATGATTGCAATACCAAAATGAAAACATTCCTTACCAGTATGAATGTCAATAAATCAATATGATGACCTTTATCAAATGATCAGGCTGGGACCTTTATCAGTGTCATGGCACATATCGTCAGCATAAAAGGAGGAATAAGAGCACTCAGTTTCATCTTCATTCAACTTATTATCATGTGATGTCATCCGATAGTTGGATCAGATTAGGCTGTTTTACATGTATTCAGCAGAGGTCTAACATTTTGAATATTCAGTCTCAATAACTACTCAATAAGCTGCATAACATTGAAAATAAGTGCGATAGTGGGGTCAACAACTTTTATCACACAAAGAAACTAATTTCTCTAGTTGGACTCACTAAAATCTTAGTATTTCATCTCTCTGCAAACTATCCCGTACCTCGTCCAAACCATAACCTGATTGTGACTCTTATCTACCAACATTTTAGTGATTTTACGGTTGCTTTAGTTTACGCTTGATTTATACATAACATTATCATGCATATTTCACACTATCAATAATGCACTTACCTTTATTGGGAAAACCATCATTTGGATATATCGTTACTACTGCAGTTGTAATCATTGTTTTGGAGTGACTCTGGATTGTTTTACACTTTGGATTTGATCTAGCAAAGTTCAACAAGCAGTGCTGTACTGTTGCATATTGATAATGATCTATAGTCTTTGTGGTTAATCATCTGGATCTTCTGATCTTTAACAACTTCTAGAAATGCTGTCCATAATAATCCTCTGCCATATGTGTCCGAAGCGGGATGATGATTGATGCATTTTAAAGCCATACTCTCACTGTGCTGACACCTGGTGAAGCTGCTGAATGAACCAAATCCCAAATAAAAAGGAGGATTTGTCAGGATCAGACTGAGCACAAGTCACTGTACAGAGGCTTAAGACTTCATGTCTTGTCTGATTATTGTAGCACTGTATTACATTTTTTAGCATGAATATAACAGCCTGTGTGTACCATTAGCCGATTTAACAGAATATAATCCTGTTATGATGATGACAGGTAGCAATAACAGTAAGCTGCGCTATAGTTTCACATCCGATTTAAACTTTGTCTGCTGCAATTCTTGGATCAGATTTTTTAGAGCTTCATCCCTTCTACTAAACACATTTTAGTCCAACTCTCTAATTAGCAGTGTTTCCCACAGATTTACAATGAGGCTATGGTGTCCATCCATAATCAAATCAGTTTTTTTTATTTGGAAAATAATTCTGTGTATTAAGTAGATTTCAGTCCACTTTTTTTAACTGGATGAAACATAAAAATAGACTGGAAGTTATCACCGTAGACGCCTGTAATCTTGGTAAACACTGTTCATGGTTTGTTGTTTTTGTGTCTTGTGAATTCTGTTTAATTTCATAGTTTTTTGCTTTTTGTTTTATTCAAACAGTCCCAGCCACAAAGCTGAACACTTTCACCAAATCCTATCTGGGACAGAGCATCAGCAAGTACGACCTGCTGGTTTGGTTTGAGATCAGCGAGCTTGAGCCTACTGGAGAGTAAGCCACCAAAGCCCTTTCTTTCTGTTGTCATAAACGTTGTTTTATATATAAGAAAGTATTTTTTAAGCCCAAAGTCATGTTCCTCTTGCAGGTACATTCCGGCTGTTGTGGATCACAGTGGCGGACTTCCCTGTCACGGCACCTACTTGCTTCACCAGGTATGAAAAAAAGTTTCTTACACAATATATTTTAGGATTAATTCCAGTGATCTGCTGTAATGAGCGCCGCTTGGTGTTTACAGAGACGTTGCATAAAGGGCTTGGTACCAATCAATACAGCAATTTTCAGAGTAGACATTAGTGAGGGCGTTATTTTTCTTCCATTTTTTAGATCAATAATGTAATTCAAAATGTTAAATATATAATAATAATCCCTGGGTGACAGATAATAACAACAACGCAGGCCTAAGCACAATATATTTAATCAAATCCAAAACTTGACTTCCTATTCAAAGGATTGTTTTGTTCCGAGTCTGCTTAACATAGTGTACTTTATACTTAAGCTGTTTCAATTCATATTTCCAAGAACAATCCTTTAGTTTTGTAGTAACTGTGTTGTGTGACACTTGAAAGCCTTATGTGCGTCATTCTCGCCGCAGGGAATCCAGCGCAGGATCACAGTGACTCTCATCCATGAGAAAGGCAGCGAACTGCATTGGAAGGACGTCCGTGAGCTAGTTGTGGGTGAGTCCTGCCCCATGAGCCTTGGGGCCCAACACGGCAGAAACAAAACACTCTCTATGGCTACAATACAAAGGATTTGATGGTACAAGCGATAGGACATTATGTCGGTTGTTTACGTTTTAGTCAGCATTGACTCTGGCAGAGAAGTATGACACCTCTAAGCCTTTTTACACAGTTGTGAATAACGGTTTCTTCAGTAATGGTTGGAGTCTGGAGGGAAGCGCGTGGTTCCCCTCCTGCCTCATACACAGAGACCATCAATCCGATGCAGCTGATATTTGTGTTTCACCTTATTCGACATGCTTGGTTCAGACAGCGGCTGACTTTGTGTAGCTCATGGGGTCGCAGATGCTGGGACTGATGCTCCAGGGCGCTTTGGCCACAAACACACACCCACACACACACGCACACACATTCACAAACATAGGAGACACTGTTCTTGATCTCCTGCTCTTTCTCGGGAGACTTTTGGTACATAGACATTTAATAGATTCTTCAATTGTGCAGTTTGTTATCTAAAAGGAAACTAGATTACAGCCGTGACTGCAAAGGAAATTATGGCTCTCGCAGTGGTGACCTTAAGTATCTTTTATACAACACGATATGCAGGCATGAAATCAATGTTAAGATAAGAGCAGATATTTTTTATACGGAATAATCATTAAAGCAGTCAAATAATATGAAATATCAAAACACTTCTTTCCTGTTGTTATCAGCACAATTCTTGGTGCCAAATCAGGGAACGTGTTGTCTTTTTAGGCGCATTCATGTTGGATCATCATGTTGGATTACTATTTCGATAATTATTGTTGTGTAAATTGACGTCCAACATTTTAACCAAACTGGAACTGAACTTGATACATGATGTGGATTTTCACAACTAAACTTGGCAATTGGAGCCAAGAAAGGTGTCACGCACCAAAGCCTATTTCAATGTTTAGTTTAATATATTTTTCTCCCCTCAGGTCGTATACGAAACAAAACTGAAGTGGACGATACTGCTGGAGATGCCGTCCTGTCCCTCAACATCATTTCTGCCAAAAACATCAAGTCCTCTCACAATTCCAACCGGTACATATGAACACGCATCCCTGAATGCACTCCTCTCAAAACTAGGACACTGTAGTTTGCCTTTTTATTTATGGCCATTGTAAATCATGGCTGAACTGTTTTCATGTAGGTTTTCAGTTGTTTTTTCATATCTGACTTTTTGTGCTTCTTCCTCTCTTTTTGTGCATCTTTTCTTCCACTTGGGCCGGACTTACAGCCTTTCTATTGATAAGGATATCGCTAGGTATCAGCCATCCCATAGAGCTCCTTTAGATAGACAAGACCCCAATGTTCCTTTTCACATGGATACGCACTTACCACTTTTCCTGTCCCCCAATAGATCCAGTAATGTTATTGTTGATTGCATCACATGTTGCCGAAACTGTGGATCAGGCTTGCCTACATTTAGAGAATGTAATGGAAAAATGGATATCTAAAATGTCCATCTTGGTACTTACTTGGGCTCCAACTGGTGACGAGTCAACTAATAAACTAGTCAATGACCATAACATAGACATGTCAAAAAGAGATTTGATTATTACCAATTGTGGGACTTATTAAAACATTATATCCAACCATAGTGCGTCAGACCACATATTCCAACTTTTTTTACGTTTAAAACTGTAATTGTCTGGCACGGCCATTTAGCTGCCACCACTCAATTATGTTAAGGATATGTTATTTGAAGCCAGGCTGATCCTAAACACATAACCCTGCCATTCAATCACCCCTTCTCCTTTGCTTCCTGTGACTTTTGTGGTTAAGACTAGAATAACCTGTGTCCACCGTTTTGTTGATCTTTATCTTCCACTAGACTCTAAAATGAATGCTTTCTCCTGTTGTTTTGCACTGTGTAAAGGAGCATGAGTCAGGGCCCTTTAGTGCAGTCAGGCTGCGGCTAAGGGCGCCTCCTGCTGTCGACTTGAAAAAGTGTAGTGAGTCATATAATAATAATAATAATAATAATGCATCGGTTTTATATAGCGCTTTTCTGGACACTCAAAGACGCTTCACATGTGTCATTATTCATTCACTCCATACACGGTGGTGATAAACTACTGCTGTAGCCACAGCTGCCCTGGGGCACACTGACAGAAGCGAGGCAACCAGTATGCGCCATCGGCCCCTCCGACCACCACCAACCATTCATACACACACCAGACTCATTCTAGGCAATGGGGGTGAAGTGTCTTGCCTAAGGACACAACGGCAGTTTGGCACTTTACAGCCGCAGCCGCCCCACTGTGGCTGGTGTTCCCAGAGGTTAAGTGTCTTGCCAAGGACACAACGACAGTAGTCAGTGGGAGTCGATGGTGAAAGTCTTGAGCGGGGCTTGAACCGACGACCTTCTGGCTCAAAGGCCAAAGCTCTACCAACTGAGCTACTGCCGCCCGCATATGAAAGCAGATGCTTCCACTGACAAACAGCAGCAATGCTTATTACCTTATTTGTGTTTTAAGGGCTGTAAATGTATGTTTTACAGCTCGTAAATGAAATATTTAAAAATATCACATTCTTACTTTTGACATTATTGATAATATTAATAATGTGATGTGCCAGATTATTGCCAACAAATAATAACTATTACAATGTTCTCGTAGTTTTTTTTTGGTCTTGTCCTAATCTAAAGTGTATGCAATGTCACTGCTATTCACTTTTACCTTTTTATATAATAATTATACTCACATCTCCACTTGTCTGGGATTAACACTGTGTTGTCTTCAGTCCTTCCCTTCTTAGACAGTTATAGAAATCATTTTAAAGGTGGTGGAATATGTAGTTATTTATATTTACCTTTTAGGACTTTCTATCGCTTTGAGGCCGTGTGGGACAGCTCCCTTCACAACTCCCTCCTCCTGAACCGCGTGACACCGTACGGGGAGAAAATCTACATGACGGTTTCTGCATATCTGGAGGCAAGAGACTGTCCTGATTATCTATTCAAAAAAACAAACAACAAAATAATCTTGTGTTGTGTTACTCACTAACTCACTTCTGTCTGCAGCTTGACCACTGCATCCAACCAGCGATCATCACCAAAGATATCTGCATGGTCTTCTACTCCAGAGACGCCAAGATCTCCCCTCCCCGATCCCTCCGCAATCTCTTTGGAAGTGGATACTCTAAAACTCCTGACTGGTAAGACTTATTATGGCCTGTACTTATGTTTTTAATGCAGTGGTTTGTAATATATAATTGATCATTTTGTATGTGTATTACAGCAACAGAGTGACTGGCATCTATGAGCTGAGCTTGTGCAAGATGTCTGACACTGGAAGCCCAGGTGAGAACTCAAAAACAATAGAAATTGTGACCATAAATGTATGTTATGAATAAATCAGTGAAAATATATATAAAAGCTTATGTCAGTATTTCCCAACTGTACCTATGCATATGTGTGTGCTTCTTTTGGCCTAATTATTAGATATATAGATGTTTCTGTCAGCATGCTCAACATCAACATTAGCCAGAAAAACAATAAATATTAACATCATATAACACATTATGGTTTAGCCTCATTTTAAAGCCGTTTTGTTCTGAATTAGATTGTTACTTTTATGTGTGAGCAGGAATGCAACGCAGGAGGAGGAAGATCCTGGACACTTCTGTGGCGTATGTCAGAGGAGAGGAGAACCTGGCCGGGTGGAGACCCAGAGGAGACAGCCTGATCCTGGAGCACCAGTGGGAGCTGGAGAAGATGGAGCAGCTGCATGAGGTCATCATTATACCTTATATACATATAAGCTAGATAGATAAATACTTAATTATCCCACATGGGGAAATGACCATCAGTAGTAGATACAGACAACACAGACAATTGTCAATGTCAGCCTTATTGCTATAGCACATTTACAACAACACACACATCCGACTGTGACAGGTGTGAAAGAGCAGGTCTCGCACACAGCCAATTTTTGTCCACCTGATTCCACCTCCAAGGCCTTTCTGTGTGGAATTCTCAAGTTCTCCCCGTTTCTTTGTAGGTTTCCTCTTGGGGCTTCCCTTACCAATAAAAACATGTAGAATATCTCAGGGTGAATGAGTGTGTGTTTGTGAGTGAGACTGTGAAATAACGGATGCAAATTTTATTTATTTATTTCGTATGGACATAACAATAGCATTGGACAAACCAGATACATTGTTTTTAGTGTTATAGCAAGACTGCTAATTTGCAACACCTGTCCACCTTAGCCCAAGGCTACAATCTGATGAAGTGTGTTCATTAACATGGACTGTCCCAACCAAATAAACAATGCATTAAATACTTGTTTTTAAATGCTGTAATAATAAATAATGGCGTATGATAATTAAAAGTAATGGCATATAATAATTACAAAATAATGGAGTATAATTTAATGAATTTCTCTTGGATTGAATTAGATTTCAACAATTGGACTTGGACCTGAACACATTTTTGTTGCTTTAAATTTGATCTCTCCTCTTCATAAATTCAGGTGGAGAAGACCCGTCACCTGCTCCTCCTCAGGGAGAAACTGGGCGATGCTGCACCACTGGGACCAGCCCCCACCACAAAGTCCCTGAGCGACCTGTCCCCGAGTATGAGCTCAGGGACCCTCTCCACCTCCACCTCCATCTCCTCACAGATCTCCAGCACCACCTTCGAGAGCGCCATCACCCCCAGTGAGAGCAGCGGCTACGACTCCGCCGACATCGAGAGCCTGGTGGACCGCGAGAAGGAGCTGGCAACAAAGGTCTGTCACTGTCAACTTTATAAATAAAGTTATTTAGGACTTTCATATTTCAAAATCCTGTCTTGTGTTTTGTGGGAACCATGTTTTCTCTCACTCTTCTCTAATCAACACAAATGTTTCTGTCATGTTCTAGTGCCTGCGCCTCATGACTCACACCTTCAACAGTGAGTACAACCAGGTGGTCTACAGCATCAGCGACTGCAAGGTAACTAACTACTGCTATAACTACTACACAACAAGACTTAAAGCTGGGGTTCCTAACTTTTTAATATTAGTGTTTGAAAAGGCTAATCCCAACATGTTGCAGCTAGAGGCCAAGCAGTTACAAATTAGATGGATTATATTACATGTTACATTTGTTGTGGTTTGAAAGTTAGGTACTGCAGCTTTAACTTCAAGGAAGGCATTTTCACTCTGAACTCGTGGAAAGCTCTTTTTATTCACGCTCACCATTCATGCTCACGTTCACACAGCAACAAAGGCTGAATGTCTTGGCTTTAGAATCTAAAATCTATATGTATGTGAGGATAATGTTATCATTTACAATTAGTTATATTCTGAGAAACGTGTGCATAAAAATCCATGAATAATCAGAATCAGAATCATCAGAATCATTTTCAGAATCAGAATCATTTTTATTGCCACGTAAGTAACAGGAGGTCACAGACTAGGAAATTGCTTTGGCTCAGTGCAACAGTCAAAAAGAGATAATAAAAATAAGAATAAAAAACACTTCTAAAGAATAAATTTAAATTTAAAATAGAGTTACAGTTACTATTTACAATATACAAGTGCACATGGTGCACACAATGTAAGGTGACAGCAGTACAGTGAATAATCTACAATCTATTATTGTCTTGTTCATCAATTAGTGTGAAAATGAATAAAACTGCAAAACCTTTAACTACCTGCTGCAGAACAGGAGCTACCAAACACCAAATAGCTACCAGCTATTTGTTGTTGAGGAATCGACCACAAGTCCTCCGAGACGACTTCTGTTGTGATTTATGGCTATACAGAAATAAATCGAGCTGAATTGAAATTGCTTTGGTTATAATAATAGAATAATGTTCTTTATGCAGCTCTCGGACCTCTCTCCGTTGGGGCGGGACCTTTCAGTGACCAGCTTGAGCAGCGCTACCCTGACCCCCTCCTCCACCTGCCCCTCTCTGGCCGACTCCCGCTGCAGCTCCATGGACCAAAAGTAACACTCTTCCCATATTTGCGATCATTATTGAAGAACGAGAAGTCACTTGACAGCAACGTTCATTGTGAGGTTTGCACATTATTTTCATAGAACTCCAGAGAACTGCTCCAGAGCCTCCAGCCCGTCCTGCTCCGATTATGAAAACTTCCCGATGGTTCCCACTTTGGAGATGTCCATTTTGGCACGGGCTGGAAAACACGAGTTCCTCAACTTGGTGCCTGATATTGAGGAAATGAGGCCGGGGTACGTTTAAAAATATATACAGTATATACAGTATATTACAGACAACAAAACAGCATTCAACAAGAACACAACACAACACAACTACAACACAAAACAAAAACAAAAGCACAATAGTACAATCCCAAACAGAAAAAAATATGACAAAAAGACATAAAAGAAAAACATAAAAATAAACTTATTAAAGAGCATACATGAAATTCAGCAAAACTCATTCCTTTTTTATCAGTATCACACACACAAATACGCACGCACACACACACACTACCTTAAACATTTTATACACGTAGATGGTACATAGGGTCAGATTAAGTGTGGTCGATATATACCTTTTTTCAAACTTAAGGGAAATTAATTGGACTCTATTGAAATTGATAAACGATAAGTAGTATTAAATTTTGAAGGTATGCAACTTTCCCAGTTATGGTACAATTTTTGCTTGGGTCGATTGAAGTGTTATTGTTTTACCTGAAATCTTTTAGCATTTTATTCATCAATAATCCTTAATCTACCTGAAGGCATAAGGTGCTAATAAAAATATATCTTTATCACAATGCTGTTATTTGCTTGTTCAGATCCGTGGTGTCAAAGAAGGGTTTCCTGAGCTTCATGGAGCCACGGTCGAACTCGTGGGTGAAGCACTTTGTGGTGGTGCGTCGGCCGTACGTGTTCATCTACAACGGTGACAAAGACCCGGTGGAGAGAGGCGTCCTGAACCTGTCCACCGCCCAAGTGGAGTACAGCGAAGACCAGCAGGCCATGCTCAAGGTACCCACAGCCCCACAGCTATTATAGAGCCATTGAGGATTTCTAAAGACTCCTGTCTAATAAAGTCTTCAGGCCAAAAAGGGAATTTTGTGTGTACTTGGTGCACTTATCTTAGTAGTCATTTTAAGAAATTGTATGAACGTTTTTGATTGTTATAACTTGTTTGCACCTTGAGCCAAAGGAAAATCCCTAGTTTGTGACTTCCTGTTACTTCCAATGGCAATAAAAATAATTCGGATTCTGAAACAAGTATAGATGTTAGTTTCAGATATACATTTTTGGTGATGACATGACATGATGACACAAATAGTAGGCAGGCAGGCAAATGTGCCATGTGCCTGCCAGGGAAAACTTAATGAAATGATTTGCTTTTCTTCAGACTCCCAACACATTTGCAGTGTGCACAAAGCACAGAGGGATCCTGCTGCAGGCCAACAATGAGAAGGACATGAACGATTGGTTATATGCGTTTAACCCGCTGCTGGCAGGAACAATACGGTAAATGTCTTTGTTTACATGTGTATATAGTGCAATTTTTTTTTTTTTTTTTTTTTTTATATGGACACTTACAAAGTTCATCTTAATTTCAACAGGTCGAAGCTGGCTCGGCGGCGCAGTGGCCTCCCCAAGAACTAAGGCACGCAGGAACACTTCACTCGTCTGAAGCCTTTGAACTTACAAGTGTTACCACTTACTAATCATTGTGAATCTTGACGGTTTTCTCTTGTCAGTAGACTTGTGGCTTAAGTCTCCTTTCATGCGACAGTTTCATATCCCTCCCACCAGCTCCTCCTCCTGCGCTGTTTTGTTTCTGTCATTCCCAAATCCCTGACTAGTAGCATGTTGTAATAGTGGACTTGTGTGTGCACGATCCTTCCGAATCTGTTCTTTCTGGTCATCAACTTTTCAGTTTGCCAATCATGTACAAACTGTCTCGATCAGTGTTATCTGTAGTTTATTTAACTTAATTATTTTGTACATTTGAGAGTCCGAACATAACTGAAGAATTCCTCAGGAGAACACTCAAGTAAAAATTGAGGGAAAATGTTTGCTCTCTGTTGCAGAAAGATATGACGACAACAATGCTGCTTACCTTAATCAGCTCTCTACCCTCTTAACAGCCTAAACCCCCTGTTAGGACCTAAAGGAAGTAGTATAGTTTCAACGTAGAGGTCTTAGCAACTTCTTATCATTGTCCATTGTAACCTCTCCTGAATCTACAGTATGTGCGTACAGCCAACCCCAGTAGTGCAGTGAGCTAACTTCATGCATTAGTGTGTATTCGACGCGTGCCACCTGCAGAAACATGCAAAAAATACAATTTGTGTTATTTGTCGCAGTTTTTCTGACATTTTAAGTCAACTTATCGACAGGGTTTGGAGGAGGTGAGGAGGGGGCACTGACAGACCTGAAAGATACTTGTACATAGAGTCATTTCTCAAGTAGTGTGAAGTAGTCGCTTTAATGATGTAAGACATTCCTCCCAGCTTAAGTAGCTACAGTTCCTTTTTATAACATCAATGATTCTAGCGACACAATATCCACACAAATGAAGGAAAACGTTTTGTCGGTACAGACGAAGCTGCTAGTTTTCAACCTGCAGGACAGATAAAGTGCTGTTGATTTTGAAGCAATTTGAACCACGCATTTTGATCATTACCCTGTTTTTGTTTTTATCCCACTTTTCTGTAAGGGACAACATGGAGGGCATTTATTTCTGTATAATTTCTAACCAGCTGTGATGGTGTTTAACCTTATTTTGCACATTAACACTTATCTATAGCAACCAATAAAGATGTGGTGAAGTTTCAGGAACACTTTTGAGAGCATATTAGAAGGCTACACTGGATAGCTGTTTATTGAAGGAGAATAAGAGATATGTTTTAAGGGACTAGATGTTCTCAAAGTTTGTATTTAACTGAAGTGAAAATGTTTGCTCTTGTAATATAATTCAACCCACAAGTCCCTCTGTTTCTTAGTTTGTTTGGGTAACGATTGGTGCAAGATGGCGTGACGAAACTCTGGCCAGCCAACCAGCAGTACGCCGTCTGAACAAGTAATAGTGAGTTTGGCAATTCAGAGGGACTTTCTTTTTGTTTTGTTTTTATTGCACGTAAATTATAGGTACATATCCACAACATGAAGAGGGAGTGGACCACTGTAAGGGGTTGTACATTTTAAAAATTATTCAAGGGAAAGCTGGGTGATCATATCTTATTAATTCAGTATACTTACACTAATTTACAACCAACTATGGATGTCATGGTTGATGTTAATCGATAATTATTCACTATGATGGAAAGAACCAAATTTTAATAATGGTACTATTTTTGGAAGCAAAATCAACTGTATCCTTCCTTTCACTTCACAATTTCACTTCCTTTCAGAGTGCTTTAATATGCATCAATATACAAAGTTAGCCACAAGAAATGGCAAAGATTTAGCACTGATAACTTGTTCTGGCTATTTTTGCTCTGTAGTAGGAGTTGTAACACGTTAGACAAAGAAAATTAAGGAATATATTTGGGTGAGTGTCAATAATTGTGGATTATTGCTAAACACTGTGGTTTTAACTCATTTTAATCATGATATCGTGACATCCAAACACATTTCGAGTGAGAAATTTCCACTATTGACGCAGTGTGCATGCTCGGGTCTGCCAGCCTGTTGGACACACACAATTTTTGCTTTTATGCACTGAAAATAAAAATATTACCTCATAATCCATCTGGGAGCAAAGATTTTCACTCGTATCTATCAGAAGTATACACTTTTGAAATGCGTATTTATTGTTTTGCAATGTACATATTTGTTTGCAGCTCTTTGCACAATAAGGAAAGGTTCAACTAACTGATCATACATGAAGTGGTTATGTTGTTCTGCTCGGATTGAACCAAAAGAATGCGTGAATGTATTGAAGATATGAAATGGTTAAAAAGTGAACAAATGTAACTGGCTGTTTATCTCATGAAGACAGCCCGTTCACATTAGTGCTTCCTTTTGGACAGAATGTGGTTTAAATGATGGTTTAAAGTAATTATTATATAAAGAAAATACATATTAATTCATCCTCACAGCCACATAAAGGATTGATTCATTATTTTTGTTCTAATATCAGGGATAACACATAGGAGCTAGTACTTATTGTGTTTTCTTCACCAACACCACTTTTTCCGTTGAGGCCTTTTGATCAAAACTATGGATTATGCTATCGTTTACGCCCTATAATTATTAACAACTTTTCTGAACAAAACGCTTTAACACTGTACATTATTTATCAGGCCGGTTTCGTTTTCATACTTATTTTGTAAATATCTATGTTGTATGGAGCTTGAATTCAAATGTAAATATGTTTTCTGTATTTGTAATAATTATAATCCATCAGCTGTATAGCATAGATGTGTCATGCAGATATCCTAATTCTGTGTATGGTAATCTTGCACCATTGAACTGTTTAGTGAATGAGGCAACAATAAAAGTGCAAATTGTGCAGAACTAATGCTTATTACTAAATTATCTCTTTATATTGTTGTGTATTCTGTGATTTGGAAGTCCCCCATTTTACAAGATTTTTAAATTCACAATAATGTGATTGTCAGCGTCTCTGCATACTGTATCTGTCAGATACACATGATGGAACATTTCTGCCCCATACATTGAGATCCTTTATTTGTTGCACTGTGGAGAAATTTCAGTGTTGCATCATAGGTTACACAACAGTAGGAATGAGGAACACACAACACAAGATAAGTGAACATTTAAGGATTGAACAACTCTATACAATCTCTATCTTGAGCTTACAACGAAGCAAAGCATAAAATACTGTCTAATGCATGAAATATAAACTTGTATGTATACATCTGTAGATAAATCTGTAATACAGTCTAGTGCAAGAATATTAGGGTGGTGAGTCACTAGCTCTGAGGGTTCAAATGTTCACAGTGATGAAACTACTGAACATGTTAGGAGCATGGACTAAAAGTGACTAAAGTGACCGTGGATACATGTGGTCCCGTATTGCACATTCCAAAATTATGGCATTACACAGATGCATGACATGTGAGGTCAGGTTGGCGTCACAAGTCGACATAACAGCAAATGCTAAATAAACTAAGTATTAAGGTTATTTTCTTTAACAAAAGTAGCAGTTAGAAAACTGAACTATTAGGAATTGTACAGAATGGTCCTTAAAATGTCACCTGCAATTAGGAAGCTGACTCCCATGAGCCTCCCTTGTTTTCTCATTCAGTGAAATTTGAGATGGCAATGAAATAGTTGATTTCTCATCAAACCATGTGACTCATTATAGAGAAGAAAGGCCTTTAGTGAAACCCCACACCGCCGTGAAAAAGAGCTTCTGCAAAAATACTACTGATGGCAATTTCATGGTAATCTAAATATTTTTAGGGTATTATTTTGAATCTACAAAAGAATAGAATAAACCATCTACCTCTATCAGATGGATAAAATTAATCTGGCTCTATCAGATCTTTGCCCAAAGCGTCAAATCAAACAACACTACATTTTCTATAATTACTATAATTATTATGAAGAAAAAAAGTCAGGCGCCCCAGTTTTAATACATGTGACATTCTACCAAGACAAGGTCAAAATCAACTTTAAAAGCATTAAACGAAATTACCATTAAACGAATTGATTTACACCAGGTCATTTCAACGCATATATGCATTATTTAGGCTAATAAACAGACAAATAAAGGACACCAGTTGTTTGGATAGTGCAATTTGACAGCCAGGCGCTTGGCCAATGGGAAGCAGCGCTGCTCTCTGACCAGATCACGTGTTCATGTGGGCGGAGCTACAGGAGACACACGCCTCAGACCGAGGAAGTGAGCTCAGTCCAACGCTGTCATCTGCAGACCTCATCTCTCCCCCAGCAGCATCATGGCACAGTACGTTTTTTTTTTTTAAACACTGCACCCACACTAGATTAACAGATAGGTTTTAGTTGCTAATACTGAGTTGTCAGGATTTTTGAGTTTGTGATTTGATCGTAATGCACGTTTATATTAAAGGATTAAAGTTGTTAGCCTGTTAGCTTAGCCACTCAGTTTAATTGAGGACTGAGAGTTGTAGAAATGTTATGTAAATAATCTTTCATGTGATTTTATGCGGATGTTGGTGACTGGCTTTCTTAAATTCTAAGGGGATTGTAGTTTATGCTTGTTTGGTTGATACAGTATTTATTTTAATAATACATTGAGAATGGATTAAATTGAAATACTGTCTTATGATGGTCAATATGAGGGATCGTGTTCTAAAAGTACATGTGATGACTTCTTCACAGAGCAGACATTGCCCTTATTGGTTTGGCTGTCATGGGCCAAAACCTCATCATGAATATGAACGACCATGGGTTTGTGGTAAGACTTTTGTCCTCGTGTTGCGACTTTTTATGACTTAATGCAAAGTGAGTAATGGTCATACCCGTTCAACAGGTGTGTGCCTACAACAGAACAGTGTCCAAGGTGCACGACTTCCTCCAGAACGAAGCTAAAGGCTCCAAAGTGATTGGGGCAGAATCGCTGGAGGACATGGTGTCAAAGCTGAAGAAGCCCAGGAGGATCATCCTGCTTGTCAAGGCAGGACAGGCTGTGGACGACTTCATTGACAAACTGGTGGGTCAACAGTCACTTAATGATCCATACCTTTTTAAGCAGTGAGGCAGCTTTTCATAACATATTATTTTTCTTCCTGAGTAGAACTGTTTTAGATTTGCTAAATGTAAAAAAAAATGTTTGCTTTGATTTACATAAGGTCCCTCTCCTTGAACCTGGCGATATCATCATTGATGGTGGAAACTCTGAATACAGAGACACAACTGTAAGCTAATAGAAATTGCATTGTCAAAGTGTTGCTTTTTTCTGAAATATCAAAGGATTGTTATTCATTTACTCCTTCAGCGGCGGTGTAAAAGTCTACAGGAGAAGAAGCTGCTGTTTGTTGGCAGTGGGGTTAGTGGTGGAGAGGAGGGTGCACGGTACGGCCCATCACTGATGCCCGGAGGTCACAAAGAGGCCTGGTAAACCAACTACTACTACTTATACGAGTACACCGTCCAAAACTGCACCAAATCATATTTTTCATCCCATGATTAACTTTTCTTTTAGGCCACATATAAAAGACATTTTTCAAGGTATCGCTGCCAAGGTTGGCACACAGCCTTGTTGTGACTGGGTGAGTGGAAACTTATTTCCAACTATTGTTCAAGCGTTTACATAATAGTATTACAAATTATTGATACTCTTGGTATTGTTTTTTTCTTTGTTTTATTGTCTAGGTTGGGGATGAAGGTGCAGGGCATTTTGTGAAAATGGTCCACAATGGTATTGAATATGGAGACATGCAGCTAATTTGTGAGGCCTACCATCTGATGAAGGATGTTTTGGGAATGGACCATGATGAGATGGCACAGGTGAGGCTATTGAGTGACATTGTTTGTCTACAAAAAGTATTGAAAAACATTGAGGACATATCTAATCACTGGTACTCCTTTGGTTAGGCTTTTGACAGCTGGAACAAAACCGAACTAGACTCTTTCCTCATTGAAATTACAGCCAACATCCTCAAATACAAAGACTCAGATGGAAAACCCCTCCTCCCTAAGATTCGAGACAGTGCTGGACAAAAGGGCACCGGGAAATGGACAGCTATTTCAGCTTTGGAGTACGGCACACCTGTTACTCTGATTGGTAAGAGGAAGTACAATTTGGAGTCAGATGACGTCTGTGTCCGAGTGAGTCATTGAGATGAGTAAATACTGATTTATAGGGTGGTTTAACAAATGTTCTTGTAGATTTTTCTTAATACTGCAACCAGCTGTGTGTGTAACAGCATGATCTAAAACGAGGAAGTTTCATATTGTCACTTGACTCATGGTTGCCTAATTTTGACCCAATACACCAGTAAAGAGCAGCAGGCGTGAGCTGTTGGTAGTTGTTGTGGCTGTCCATAAGAAGATTGAGGGTTTAGTGGAGACCTGCTCATCTGAGGTGACATAAGGGGGATTTGTGAAGCTGTCGAGTACTGCTCTCTGACTGCTTCAAGTGGAACAGGTTATTACATGGGAGAAAAACACGTTACAACCTTGGACAAATAATGTTTATTAATATAACGGTTACATGTTTACGTTTCTATTTTTTGTGAACATAGAAGGTTTAATTTATTACTTTACCTGCACTTATATTAAATTGTCTTTCTATTACTTCCTGGTGTATTTGTCCCAACTGAATATTGCTTTTCCTTTGAAAGTCCCAAAGTATATCATTGAAGTTACTTGTGTTTAGATGATTGATTTTTAGATGTTGACGAGGCAGTATTTGAGTCTCTTGTCTGTGCTGGGAGCTTGTTTTGGCTGGCACACTGAGGCAGTACAAAAGGCTTCATTGTGAGAGATGAGCCTGCTTCTGTAGTGAAGCACATGTGATTAAAACCCAATGGGATGTGGACACAACACCCCATGTTGATCAGTGAACACTTTGCTTTGGCTGCACATATTTAGCAAGTCATTCCAACTCATCCAAAAGCTGTGGGTCTGAACGCAACAGGCTTGTTAAAGTGCTGAGTCATTGTGCAGTTTTTGTCTGTCCATTCTAGTTCTATCTGAAGGAATTGTGTTGCATTTAAATGATTAATACCCTGATACCAGAAACTAAACCAGTCTTGATGAAATTTTGTCATGTAGATAGGTCATGTGTTTTGTTGTTGTTGTTTTTTTTACTTTACTTTGCTTCCCACTCCTTTATGGACTCTCTTGATTTCCTTCTCCCACTGGACTTTTTACTCTGCTCCTTATTTTAATGCATTTATCATTAACTAATGTTTAGAGCAAATCCACAAAATAAGCCATTGTTTGAAGCGGGGTGCATTGTTTTCTGCAGCTATAGTGGTAGAAATGGCCAGCTATGCAGTAAAAATGGGAGGGATGTCTGTACATAATTTCCTCAGTGACATTTCCAGAGACCTAACCTGGTTAACTCTGAGCTGTCTGTGTCACAGGGGAGGCCGTCTTTGCCAGATGTCTGTCGTCACTGAAGGATGAGCGAATGGAGGCCAGTCGCAGCCTCTCCGGGCCTCAGGGCGTCAAGTTCAATGGGAACAAGGCAGCTTTCCTGGAGGACATTAGAAAGGTAAATGGCCGAACACAGGTATTTCACAAGCTGCGCAAAGACAGTAGTAGTGAAAGAGTTTGATACTTTTGGAAACCTGTATCTTTAGTTGTGTTTTTTTTACTGATTTATAGGTCTACTGAATCTGCCTCGTCAATTTAACACATTTTTCTCAGTGTTCTTCACATTCATATATTAATTCCAGTGTGTTTGGAAATATTGTTATTCATTATTTTGCAACGCGCTTTGAAATCTTTGTGGAAAACGTGTCAATTTTCTCCAGCATCTCCACCTTCACAAAGCTCTTGAGTTGCTTTCTTTTGTTAATACACACAATGTTAAGTAAAACCAAGCTAATAAAGTCTCCTTATTTTATCTTTAGGCCCTCTACGCCTCCAAAATAATCTCGTACGCACAGGGCTTCATGCTGCTCAGACAGGCGGCCAAAGAGTTCAGCTGGTCCCTCAACTACGGTGCAATCGCTCTAATGTGGAGAGGTGGCTGCATCATCCGCAGGTACACAACACAATGTCATTTGCATCACTTCAGCTTCAGCAATGTCGACACAGGTGGAGAAACAATGGCCCAGGTTACGTTTGGTTTTACTAAAGAGCGCACGGGGAAGTAACTTAATGTTGCAATTCTGGAAGAAAAGAGCAGTGATACCATATACGGTAACTTTGTTTGTATTTCCTCATTCCTTTGCAGGTGGGGCAATGTGTCACAAAAACAGAATACAATAGAGTTTTGTTGATGTGTACTAGTCGAGGTGCTACTTAAAACCAGCACAAATACTTGAAATGAATTTGCATGCAAGAGTTAAGTTTTAAATTTGTTTTGCTTTTTGTTCACAAATTGTAGTAAGCACAAAATGACACAATTGGTAGAGTTATGATGTCAAATAGATCTAAGAGTTAGAGTAATAAACAGCTTCTTTGTCCACAGCGTGTTTTTGGGTAAAATCAAAGAGGCGTTTGACAGGGACGCCGACCTTCAGAATCTGCTGCTGGACTCCTTCTTCAGTAATGCGGTTCAGGAATGTCAGGTAAGAACGGGAAGTATTGTTTTATTTTAGTTAGCATATAATAAACTGGTCTCTGGTTGCTGCGGATAATGGCTCAAAATGTTTTGTGGAGTAACACGTGTTCCTCGCGTTCTCAAAATAGAAGCCCACCTGTTGTCATGGAGAAATCTCTCCTCGCTCTCATTCCGTGGCCAGATGCATAACTGCAGTCCTCTATTGAATGCTTAATCTCTTGTAGCCTGGCCAATATTTGTAAGATTTTGTAGGTCTTGTGTATATAACTATTTGGGATGGGACACAATTAGATGAAACCGATTTGAGGGATTTAGGCTTTGGACAATTACTTTGAAACGCTGTTTTATTGAAGGGAGTGTTCATCAGATCTTTTCGTTTTTGTTCACTTTATATCTTTTGTCTACATTGTAGCTCTGATTGTAACTGTTTGCTTATATTGTGCAAATTAGCCCTTTTATTTAAATCTCTGGTCAAATGTAAACATAGAAATCTCATGAGTCCTATTCTACAATCTTGAATAGACCCAACCCTGGAAATTTTACGTTACCTTGGTAAGCCTTAAGCAATTCCAAACTTCCTAATAAATGTATATGATGGAGTTGAACTTTTCTGATATAGATTAAAGCTATTTTGTTAAGACTCAACTTTGTCCCGGTTTAAGAAAAAAAGGATGTCTCTATAAGTCTATATACAAATACTAACCACTGGTGCATGTGACAATTTCATGTAGGAGTCTTGGCGCCGAACAGTCAGCACCGGAGTCCAGCATGGGATCCCGATGCCCTGTTTCACCACCGCTCTGGCCTTCTACGACGGCTACAGACACGATATGCTGCCAGCCAACCTCCTCCAGGTACAACCGCTGTGTCACCAAGCTCAGGGCAGATGAAGAACGATGGGAATGGAATTTTTTCTAATAACGCAATCGTAGTTGACCAGATAATGTATGATATTTTAAGTTTAGACTTTAGAAACACTTAAGTTCCAAGATGTTGCCATTGATCATTTTTGGTCAATTTATAATTATGCTGTTTTTACTCCAAGAATCTGACCGTTTGACTTGATTATAAACATACCTCAAATTTGAGCTTTTGTGACATTTACAAATTTATGTTTTTAAATTGTGACTATTGTGTCTTGCAGGCCCAGAGAGATTACTTTGGTGCGCATACGTATGAACTTCTGTCAAACCCCGGGCATTTCATCCACACAAACTGGACCGGCCACGGTGGAAACGTCTCCTCCTCATCCTACAACGCCTAGACACAATTTTAACAAACAATTTTACATTCCACCAAACTCTATTTAAGTCTCAAATGAGCTTAATACAGCTTTTTATCTGTGTCACTGATGTGTTACTGTAGTCTTATTTATCAGTAATCATAGTACTATTCCCCCAGTGCTTGTAGCAACAGTTTACATGACTGGATGGGGGCAGTGGACTTGCTTTTGTGTGAGGGTTGCTTTATATAGGGCTGATGTTGACCAGTCATATTGGACCCAGGGTTCATGGTGTTAGCACTGGATTAAAGTAGCTTGTTGCACCGTACTGTATTAGGCTAAATAAAGATTTCAATCCCTTTATAATTAGCTTCTATAGTCCTTTCTCTTGTAAACAGGTTGGAGGTGTGTAGCTTTAAATAGCAGGTGAAGTAAGGAGTAGTCTGGTTCTACTATATTAAATTTTCCTCAAAGTTTAGGTGAACTAGACCAAAGGTGATGCCTTGAAACTTAAGAGCGCCACTTAAACAAGAGCATAAAATAAAGATGTTGGTAAACATTTGTAGGAAGCCAAGTTACTGAATAAAGTATCCTGGAGTTCTAAGCTCATGTAACATTTCTGCTTTAGACTAAAGCTAAACAATATAAAATGCTATCTAAGGTGTCTCTGGTCTGTTTGAGAACCTCTTTGAGGGTATGGTTTGCACTTTGCACAGAATTGAGGTTCTGTACATCCTCAATGGCTGGCACTAAATTAAACGTGTTGGACTGAAAGGAAGCTTTTCTACTTGTGTGGCTTCATACTGCACATAACGTTACTGTTTATTCTTCGTATAAAATTAATCTTTTAGCTGTGAATTCAAGAGATCCATGTTTCTTTACATTTTGTTAATGTATTCCAAGAAGAGTACTGAAGGCCATTATCTGAGCGTTGGTATGACATACTGCCAACAGTTGGACTAGGCCTCCACCTGTAGGACGTGAAAGGTGTTAGTCCTGGGACATTGCAAATGGACACATGGCCGTAATTTCAAATGTTAAAAAAGGGACAGTAAGTAAATACGCACAATTCATAGCTAGTCCTCATACCTGGAACACATGTAGGTTGATTACTGATACAAACCTACTGGGGTTTCTTGGATTTCATTTAAATTTGTGGCTATTATATATAATACACAAGTATTTAAAAAGCCAAAACCAGTTAGACAACCCAACTATTTAGCGATTCTGCACTGAATGTATAAATTAAATACCACGTACATAATAACTTGCTCTGAAATGTAATGATTGCACATGCTCTCCACGTGTTACATTACAAAAGATGGTAATATTAAAAAATAGGCTACTGATCCATGCCTGTTTAAACATTGAAGATATCTTGAATCTTTTAGTAAATTTTACATTTAGTAAATGAGCAGCTCCAACAGTTACCTGAAAACGGTTAAATCAAAATGATTAAATAGTCAAAAGGATTCCTGTCAAAAAGAATTTTATTTTTCCCTTCGATTCACAAACATAGAAAAGCATTCATAACATGCTTCAAAACACAAACTTCCAATGGGATCTTTTCAAACACTCGCCACATCAGAGCTCACCACGCTCCCATTTCTGTCTCCACACAGACGTTCACAAAAGGAGAATACAGTAACACTCACAGCACTCACAAATCAGACAGCAACAGAATGCTAGCAAACTACAATTACTCAAAAGCACTTGACATTTCACTGTTAAGAAGTTGAAATAATGTGAAAAAACTGTTGTCCTGGTGATAGGACACACATTCGTACTGGTTTCTTCCTCTCACATTCACAAAGCACAAGTCCATCGCTCGCGCAGCCAGACATTTGTTGCTTAAAAACAGTCTTTCCACTCGTGCTCCTTTCACTAGGCCATCGCACTCACTCTGTCCAACACCAACTCACTCAACGATCTTCAAAAGGTGACAGGATTCTACTCCTTAAAGGGGGAGAGGAGAAAAAAAACATCACCCACCGTCTAACACAGTGTACGTGGAGGCGTTCTTTGACGACAAAGCGTTTGGACGGAGAGGAAAGATACTGTGGTCGGACTGTGCTTCCTCCCAGGGAACTGGGAAGAGATGGTGAACTGCAGAGTTTCCAGATGAAAAACAAAACAAAATGATCTGATCAACTGCATACAGACGAGTACAGCAAATTAGGCCCATATTATATAGATTAGAGGGGGCATAGATACTCGTGCATGTTTATAAATATATAATTTGCATGCAGATCGCTGATTAACTTCAAAAACTTAAGTGGTGTGGTAAGTCCCACATCTTTCACTCATTCATAGCATTACTAATTCATAAAAAAAACCAATTTGATCTGTAACAAAATAAAAAGGCAGTGTATCTGTAAATTATAGAAACCAAAGAAAAGGTGCCCCCCCACCCTTGGTATACTTACCAGATTACGTCTACAAAAATAAAAAGGACAACGGTGCTCTAGATTCCCCAGTTAGACGACTTTGAGTCCATGGAGGTGAAGCCTGAGTTGAAGCTACCTGCAGAAGGTGTATTGGTGGCCCCAGTCCAGCCCAGGGAGGCCGTATTGGGGTTGCTGAAGCTGGTGCTGCCAGAGCTATAGGTCTGTGTGGTAGCAGCAGAGCCAGCAGTAGTGGTCAGGCCCTGTTGACTGGCCAACATGCCCATCACACCCCAGCTGCTCTGTAATGCAGCCTGAGCAGCTGCCACCATAGCAGGGGGGAGACCCAGAGCCCCAAAGTTTACCCCTCCACTACCACCACCCATCCCACCACGGTTACTGCCATAGCCCTTATTGAAGCCACCCGCTCCCCCATAGCGACCGCGATCCATCATTGGCCTATTGGCGTGTTTGGGCTCTGCATTTGAGATGTGAACGCTAACTCCTTTGATGATCAAGTCCTCCCCACACAAGGCCTGAGCAACCTAAAAAAAAATTAAGTTATAGCATAAATGCCGGATCTATTGACCATGACAAAGAGTGTATTGATGATATCCAAACCTGGTCATCTGCAAAGGTGACAAAGGCAAAGGCTCTGAAAGGCTTTGGAATGAACACGTCAGTGACTTCTCCAAACTGCGAGAAGTACTGCCTCAGCTCTTCAGGGGTCATGTCATCTGTGCAGCGACCCACAAAGATTTTTCTACACCGTGTGGGTTCATCAGGAGAAGTCTAAAAGAAGACAATTTGTTCAAAATACAATACATACAAATGTAACCGATTACAGCTTAACTAACAAACCTTTGAGTTGGGGAGTTTGCAGTCACACCATCGCCCATCGATCATATGTCTTTGAGCAATAACTTTAGTTTGTGTTTCATAGTCAGTGAAACGGACAAAACCAAAGCCCTTAGAGTTTCCAGTGGCCGTGTCTCTTTTGATCTAAAAAAAAAAGTTTTTTAAAATAAAGCAACAAGTTAATTACCTATTGAAACAAAACTACACAACCCTTACCTGCACCATGATAACTTCTCCAAAGGTGCTGAAGTAGTCCTTTAAATCTTGTTCTGATGTCTTCCATGGCAACCCAAGAACAATTAGATCTGAGGTCTTTTGAAAACCTCTTTTGACTTTCACAGCTGACGCAGCATCTATTTCTTCCATCTTTCTTTTATTATCTGCAATGAAAAGACCAGGGTCAGTTCAATAATGAACAGTACTCTAATTCACTTCAGACTCATGCTTGAAGTAAAGATCTGTACTACTACTATTGTCTTTAGCAGAAATAATTAAAAGGAAAAAAAATTAAACGTTGGTAGTAAACCAGGCCAATTTACATAGGAAGGCTCCCAGAAGGGTTAACATCCAGTAAACAATAATACAAAAAAGCACAGCTCCAAGTGTGTGAATGAAGTGGGCCCATTGGAGCTGGGAAATGCTTACTCTGTACCATTTTGGTCTGAAAAAACAAAACAAAAAGAAGTTCCCTGTAACTGCGTTGAAACATGGTGTGCGTTGAAACAATTGACGAAAACCTTAACAAAGACACAGTTCAGTACAGTTAATGGGCACACGGGATGTGGATTCACCTTTAGGGTAGTTGACCACGTAGACCAGGCTCCCCCAGTCGTTCTCTGGTGCGTGCAGGACCCCTTCAACCAGGCGGACCCCCCTCATGCACTGGCTCTCGGGGTTACGGTAGCGTAGGCCACAAGCTCCGGGGAACTGCGCAGCCACCGAGGACAGCAGTACCGTCCCGTCGTCCTCAGAGGGGATCTCCATTGGCTCTTCGTTCTCCTCCTCGGCCACGCGGATGTATATGTCGGCCATGATTCAGCGGAACCAGCCTGAGCCAACTGTGCACTGAAACACACGAGTCTGACGATGCTAAAGCTAAAAAAACCTAATAAACTTTACTTTGTCAAACGTGAACGCGGGGGGTTTACAACTATTACACCCACCACTTGTAAAGGTTGTGACTGTAAAAAAACAGTTAAAATAAGACTAACTTACAAAAACAGAGCGCACAAAGAGTTTAGCTAGCTGCTAACACAGGCTACAAACTCCAGACAGATGCATGAATGGAGACTTGAACACTGCGTGTGGTGTCATCACTTACGAAAACCCCCGTTCAGTTCACGAAAAAAACTCCAACTAGAAAGTGCAACAAAATATAAGAGACTGTTGAATTTGCTGTACGGATATAACTAGACTGGCCACTTTCAGCGCGCCTCTAATCCTTTTGACGCGAAGCTAGTGTTCGGAGCTAACAAAATGGCTGCTCACCTTCGGAATCGGAGATGATGTCATGTGTTTGGGAGGCGGGGCCATGGGCGGGGCTGACGAGGGCGGAAAGAACAAAACACCCCCCTCACATTAGGTAATGTAGAATGTAGACAGATACTCACTGAAACTGGATACTATTTGGATTAGTTTCATTCATTTCAGACATAACAATATAGTTTTTTCTTAAAAGCCACTGGGTCTTTCAACCATTAAACATTATTGCATTTGTCACAAAATTGAAGGCCCTATAATCATTATAAATTGGACAACGTGTTAAAAAAGCATAATATTTGTATACATTGGACCTATGTAATCTTAGCCCTCCCACTGCCCTATATGTCCCTAATTTTTTAAAAGAAGGGTTCGGGGATTAAAATCTTATGCAACCTTCTGATAAGTGAAATTGTAGAATATTTTTAGGGCCTATTATTGGAAAGAAAAAGGGAACATAACCATGTTACCAAAATAAAACATCACATTTGAACTGGCATCTTACGGTGTCAAGTGGTAAAGGAAATGGTCTGCTTCACTGCGCTTCACAACAGCAGACAGCAGAGTAAAATGTAATGTTGTTTCAGTAAATTGGAGAGTAAAATTGGGCAGATGTTCCATCAAACCCTTTAAACTCTTTCATCTGACAAATAACAGAATAGTTGTGATGAACAGAAAATAACCAAATATGAAATGTGAAAATATTTGTTCTCAAATTTGTATCAGATAGTAAATATTCAACAAAGATTGTGCCATTTCTTCAGGGCTGTGCAGAAATGGCGCAAATTAAATCTGGTGGAACATCCTAAACTTTAGGACATGTGGAGATGTTCCTCTCTAAAGTCATTCTAGACTGTGGTAACTCTGTGGTCTGTTTACAACAATAAATAGTTCAACAAATCCACCAGTTCTGCCGCCAACAGACTTTATTTCAGTTTGCAAAAGCTTTTGATACCATAGTGCAGGGCCTTTATGAACTCATATTTTGTGATTTTGCAATGTGCCAGTGTGAATGATTGGTAGTGGTCGGAAGGGCCGATGCTTCAGTCAGTCTGCCCCGGGGCAACAGAGGCTACAGTAATATTTTAGTTAGTTAATTAATACTGCCATGTGAAGTGTCTTTTGATGTCACAAAGAGATCTATATAAGTCATTATTATTGTATGATAGTGTACTCAATATGGTTTCTTTTTTAAGTCAAGACCTGCCTCACATTTTCATGAAGACGTTTCATATTTTTAAATCACACTTCCTAAATAAAACATGTATTGATTATTTATGAATATAAATATTTATATCCATAAAATAAATATGGATATGGATTTATTAAATAAATATTTATGGAGTGTCATTTAGATCTGAAATATCTATTTGAAAATGGTAAAAAAAGAAAAACTTTTTTCACTCAAAACATGCATAATAAATATCGGTGATGTAGCCAAATCCACTTTACACGCCTGTACTGTGATTGTCCAGCAGCATTGCAGCAGCTGGTCCCATTTTGTGCATTTGTAGTTCTGCCATCAGATTTTACTGTGGTGTAAAATGTCCAAATGAGCTCTGGTTTTACAGCGCAGCCTGGTGCACAGGGCCGACGTGGTGCTTTGCTTCATAGGGACAAATCAGGGGGAGCAGTGGAGCATGGAGAGTATGCAGGTGAGGAGGCCATGTCAACACTGTGTAAAAGTAAAACTGCTGCTTCATTATGAGACGCTGTCGTGAACACAGACGCCCGCACGGATTTATTCAGTGTCACTTTGTGAGGCTCAATTAATGTGCTTTACACAAGTTAAGGATGTCAGAAAGATACAACATAAAACACAGTTATGTGGATTGTAATGAAGCGGTGAAAAAATACAAATTTTTTGATTTGTTAAATTAGTTTTTTATTTTTACTGTAAACATTCCACCACAGCCTTCTGTGAAGCTCAACGAACTACAAGGGTCTGGCGAGAGTCAGACTAGAATCAAACTGGAGCAGCCCGAGAAAACCCATACACAGGGAGAACATGGAAACTCCACACAGAAAGGCCCTATCTGGAGGTGCAATCGGAATCTATGACTTTCAGTGAAGCAAGACCACTGCACCACTGTAAAGCAGTTGTTATGGTTTTAATTGTTTGGTTTTTGCCATAATAATCTATACCAGGTGTCGCCAACCAGCCCTCGAGAATTTGTTTTTAATTTATATTTGTGTGAACGCGCCTGATATTGGTGCAGTCATGATTTATCATCGTATATTTGTTACTAGTGCACAACGGAAGTGTATTTACAATAATAAATAATGATAATGAATAGTACAAATCCTTTGGCGAGCTACCTGGAAGGGAGGGGCAAGCTACTGGTGGCTCCCGAGCTACATGCTGGAGACCCCTGATCTATACATATCCATCTTAATGTATATTTTTAATTTAAGTAAACTTGCGAGAACTTCTTAAAACTATTTCATAAAACTTAAGGATCTAATAACATTGAGAACTCTGATGACTGTGTATAATGTGAAGCAAAACAAACTTCCAGACCATATTCAGAACATGTTTGCTAATCGAGAGAGGGCATACAATCTGTGGAGCCTTCGTAGTCTGCTCGTACCACTCTCAAGAGTCACTGCATTACACAAAAAGGCAAGAAGCTCTGGAATAATCTCAATAATAAGCATACCAAGCCCCATTAGATTTAAGAAACGTATACACTTATTGTGTTGCAGAAATATAAAAAAGGTTAAAATACAACTGAACAAATATTCTGGTGTGAGGTTTGTCCACATCAACTATACAGCCACTATGAACAACTGTTTTATAAACGCATTGTAAATACTGCTCTATGTGAACAAAGTTGTAAATGTATATACATGTGTGTATGTGCTTGCATATGTAAAATCCTTTTGCATTTCATTAATTTGCTATTATGTCGAATCCATAGATTGTATGTGGCTTGAGGGGTAGGTGCTCATAAGTTCTTTGAAATTCTATTTGGTTCTATTGAGCAGCAAATATGTCTGTATAACTTTTTGTTTTATAAAAATGATTGTATGTTGCTCAAAAAAAGTAAATTGGTATTTGTTCATAGTTTACAAACAAATATCACAATTCTACTAAATCTCTCCAAAGTGACTCGGTTACCAGTGGATATTGGTAAAATTTTGTTTGAATTGCAATTGTTTGTTTTGAGAACTAACTTTATAGGGGAAAAAAGAAGGTCCAAGCATAGTCCAAGGCACAACCGACTTTAAAGTAAAAATCTTTTAATATCCATGTCCTTTGAATTACAAAAGTAAACAAACTTGGGAATAATTGTAGCCTGCAGCCTCTGGGTATTTGAGATCAGGACAAACATGTTGGTGTTAGAACATCCATGGTGTTAGCTCATAACTTGTAGTCTTATCCCCATATCTGTCTGAATATGAAACACTTTGCATGGGTCCAGCAGGCTTTCCTTCTCGCCAGCAGAGGGCAGTGTTGTATATGTTTTGGAGGCCTTCGCGCCATGCTTCGCGCTCTGAGATCATGGATGTGTTGAGGATCTGCTGCTGAAGCAAAGCTGGAAAAAGTTCCGCGACAAATAACACCGCTCACAGGTTTTGTGTCATATACAAGTAAGAATTACTTTACTTACGATTGTTTATGATACATTCCATCGAAATGTATGTAATCTACACAATATTCCTCTTTTGTATCAACTGGCAATATAAGGCAAGGCCTAACCATGGAAATATAATAATAAAATCGCCTAACACGTTTTTGTTGAACTTGGATATGCTCAGTTATCAAAAGCACTAACATAACCCATAATAGAGGAATATACATGTGTTTACACAAAAAAACTATGCCTGTCTTTTTGTCTTTAAATTCACCATTCTTAAAGTCAAATCTTTGTTATAAAAGCATATCTTATAAGAATAGCCTAACACAGACAGTTAAGGATGAAGACAATAAAAATAAAACAATGTTCACTACTCAAGAGGCCTTGCACCTTTTGACAAAACAAATACATATTATCTTAGCACGGTGGGCTGCCACTTAAAACGTGTAAGCATCACATGTTTGTTGTAAAGACAATGTTGTATGCCTCATCACATATCTGTTGTCTTCAAAATGTCCCATCCATCAGGCTTGCCCATCTGCAGAGGGAATGGATGAGCAGGAAATAGAAGGCTTTATATATAAAAAAAGATAAATCTAATTTTCTTTCATGTGGGCTATCTCTGACCATCCTCCATTTGTTACTTCCTGCTAACTGTCCTCACAGAGTTACTCTTTCATGTCTTCAGTGTTGTTTTTTTTGTTTTAATTTCAGGCAGAGCATATGGTGAGCACATCTGGGAGAGGCTGAGCGTGGTGCCCCCTCACACTCATGCACACACACATGCACACACGCACATACACATACACACACGCAGAAGACCGAGCTGTTGTGAAGTGATCCATATATGGACGTCATTGTTATTGCTCTTAATCACTCATCATGATTACAAACAACTGGGCTTGAGATTAGCTGCTTAGAATATTTCACACAAATAAAGAAGAGCTTTGAGGGAAAAACATAGAAAATAGA